CTGGCGTTTATATTGGGTGGGCGAGAATAGGTTGCCATTGTATCTTCATTGACTGAGTGGTTCCAATTGTTTTGGCTTCAATTTTTTTTTAGGGTAAAGTTTCGGGTATAGATTTGTAATTTTCTTTGGTAATGGAAAAGGCATTTTTTCTTTCATCATAAATTTTTTAATTCTTTACTGTGTGTATGTCTTGTCTTGAACAATGTTCTTACCTAAAGAAAATCTGAACTTGCAAATGGTTGGAAGTAATTTGCCTTGTCTTCATTGATGGTTAATGGCCAGACGTGAATGATAAGGAACCTGGTTTTGCTGTGGAGGACGTAGATATCTGTCACAGGTGTCAGAATGTCCCTTATTAAAGCACCCTCCACTCTTTCATCCTTCGACCACCTTTCACAATCCAAAGAATATATACTATGCTAGAAAAGGTTGAAGTTCTCATCTAATTCAATTCTATTGATGATAGCCGCGAAACATACTATGTAAGTCAGACCAAACAAGGATTCAATTCAACTGGGCGACAACACATTAATTTGAAGAAAGACTATAATTCTAGATTAAGGTATACGGTCAATAGAAAATAAAGTCATTCTCATTTCCATTGTTTGAAATAGCATAAAAGAATTCAATACACAAAAATGTGCATACACCCAAATGCATTAAGTCAACATGAAACTAAATACTGATTTGATTGAATTTTCGAGCACACCAACCATCTACAGCGTCACAAACAAAGCTGCAATAATATTGTAAACATAATTACACTCTTAACACTACAAATACTAAATTTAAAAATTAAAAACAGAGCACACCCCTCACCCGATATAGTAAAGGATGGAGAAAACCCATTTGTCATAGAAACATATTGCAAACGCAACGCAATTCATGAGAACTCTAAATGGAGTTCATACAATCTTGGAGTTAGCCTCGTCAAGATAAGAATGGGTATTGATTGCTATTGTGTATGGGCATTTTACTGACTAGAAATTTCATTCTGGTGGCATGCAAAACCTGGCCAAAAATTAAAAATTAAAAAAAAAAAAAAAGCCTACAGAAATTTCTAATTATATATATATATAGTAGTATTGAGAAACACTAGTTTTGGAACAATTATGAATTGAGAAATTTAAGTAAAAATAAATTAATTAATTAATTAAAAGGCTAATGTTGTATTTTTAAAAATCAGTAAATGAATTTTTGAGTGAAGTTGTAAATTAATTATCTAAAATCAGTAGAATCATTATCCTATTGTTACTGGAAAATTATTAATTTAACTCTTATTTAAATTTCTATTCCTACTCGTAAAGGCATACCGCAAACTTGTTATATAAATAGGAGTATACTTCTTTGACACAAGAAACCAGAATTCCCAATATCAATTTAAATCCTTGCCAAAAATAAGTATAAAAAGACCCACAGTAATTTCTAACTCTTATATATATAGTACTATTGAAAAACACTAGTTTTAGAACAATTATTAATTGAGAAATTTAATTGCAATGTCTTGAAACTTTAAAAAAAAAAAAAAAAAAATTAAAATGGTAATTTTAGAATTAATGCAAATGTTATTTAGAAATGGGGGCTAATAATTTAATTGGTGGGATGCGTATATAGCATCACTCATTAATAAATTATTCTTATTAAAATTCTTAAAAATCAATAAATTAATTCTTATTCAAATTCCTACTCCTACTCTATCACTAGAATCAGTATCTTATTCGTATTGGAAATTAATAAATTTAACTCTTATTCAAATTTCTATTTCTACTCGTAAAGGCATATCACAAGCTTGTTATATACATACGAGTATACTTCTTTGACACAAGAAACCACAATTCCCTCTAGGACTGTGCAAAACCGGGTACCCGAATCGGTTTTTAGAATACCCGGTTTACGGGTACCCGAATTTGATTAAAATTCATCATGAATTTTAATTTTTTACAAGATACAATTCCATCGGGGTATTTCATTCAATAATTTTACAATTGAAGAAGCAGCAGCAAAGAAGTATGTGAAAGGAAGTAGACTGAAGCCGAATGTGGAGAATTTTTGCAGTACCTTGAAGTCTTAAGAAAAAAATTTCAGTGGAGAATTAATTAATTAATTAAGCACCAACACATAAAACAATTCTATGCACTTCACCAACAAGCTAACATATGGGCACAACACGCTGATGTTTCTTTTTTATTTCCATCCTTTAAGAATCTCTTAAAGGTCCAGGATAAGTTTCCTTTTTATTTAGAAATTTTTTTCCCTAATAATAATGATCACGAGGGTTTCATGATCTTTACTTTTGGCACAAAATAATTAAAATAAATTAACTAAAAGAAAGTTAAGCAAAAGAGAGGGTTGGATATAGCATATCGCCTTTAATTTTCCCATAAATTAGTTAAAGCTCCACAAATAAAAACAAAATATATTGAAAACAAATAAAAAATTGGAAAAAGTTAGGATTGACACACAGAGGGCATCATTTCCAGACACAAGAAGCAAAAATCATAGTTAAAACAGAAGGATGAAGGGTTATCCGAAGACAAACTAAAGCAGAATTATTGATAAAAAGAATTTCATGATACTTATTAACTGTAAAGAAAATATGATCTTCAACATCAGTCCACAAACGTACTGGAGAGTGGAGACTAGAGAATTTGAGAGAGATGAGTGCAGATTGTGGGACCTGACGCACTTTACTGGAGAGTGGAACTGGAGACTAGAGAATTTGAGAGAGATGAGAACAAAGTGCGGGACCTGACGGCTGACGCAGTGACGCTGATGGGCTGAAATTTTAGGGCAATGTATTTGCCTATTTGGGGCTTTGCCCTTTGAAAATTGAAGTAAAAAAAAAAATTTTAAAAACTGGTTTTTTTTTTTTTTTTTTTAATAAAACCGGGTACCGGGTACCCGGTTATCTTAAATTAAATAACCGATAGCCGAACCGAAAATTCGAGTATCTTATAAAAATTACCCGAAACCGACCCGAATTTTTAGGTACCCGAAAATTCGGATTCGGTTCGGTTATCGGTTTTTTTTGCACAGCCCTAATTCCCTCCCTATATTTAATTCCTTGAAGTTTCCCGTTCAATTCCATGGCAAACTTTTTGAAGAAGACGTTAACTCTGTTACATAGCAAATTCGAAAAGAAAGAGGAGAAACACCATAGGGATGATGAGGAGGAGAAGAGGATTTGGGAGTCACTTTCGGAAGATATATTAGGCGAAATTATCCGCAAATTAAGTTTACATGATGCTCTTAGTATGAGTAGGGCTTGCATGTCCTGGAGATCAGCACTGCAAAACAATGTCCAAAACATTGTCTACAAAACAATGTCCAAAACATTGTCATCTGCAAACGTTGTAGTTGCAGGAATTATTTTTCCATATGATAAGTTAGTAACTTGTAGGCCAAAAGACAAGAGTTGGACCATCTGGGATTATGATCATTTACGAGACATCATATTTTCTATTGGAATATTGCATGCTTTGATATACACAGAATTACATTCTCTTGAAACACATCCATTGAGGGTAGGGTATATGGATGTTATTCTCAAATTATTATCAGTCCCTCGTCTTGATATCCAACAATATAATGAAATTGAATTCGAATTAGGATTGACATCAGTTTGTGAAGGGCTTGTGTCATATTTGGTGGAGTCCAAAGGCGAAATTTTACTTGTTCAAAAGATGTTTGAACATACAATTACTCGAATAGGCTACTATGAGTCTATGATCATTATGATACTAGTTGTGGATTTATGTATGACTTAACTCGTGGATTTTATATGCTAAAGATTGGTTATCCTACTATCGCATTCATCAATACAACTAGGTTAAATAGCTTGGATGACCAAATATTATTTGTGTCACAACACAGTTCATACATTTTAGATAGAAATCTCAACGACTTGGAAGGGATATTTGTGTCACAACGCAGTTCATACATTTTAGATAGAAATCTCAACGACTTGGAAGGGAATTGCATTTTCTTTTTGGATGAGAATGATCATGTTAACGATGAAGATTATGATCAGGGAGAAAATAGTCAATTTTATGAACCACATCCCTCTGGCGAATCAGGTATTTTTAACTTTAAAGATAAAAAAATACTGCACACTCTCCCAAGTTTCAAGAATTTACCACATTTTCAAATGTGTTGAGTAAAAACAAAGTTGAAGAATCCATAGGTTTTATTTATCTTACATGTATAAAGTCTTTATTCCCATTATCATTTTTCTTAATATTTGGGTTGCTAGTTATGCGCCAATTAACTGTAACAGTATATATGACTTGAAGCTTCATAAAGCTTCTAATTGCAAGACAGATTTAATAATATATTTTGATTGTTATCCTTGTACAGTTTCAATTCATCATATGAGGACACTGCACCAATCTATGAACTCTTGTGAGTACTAATTGGTTGGTTAATGGGCAGATGTGAATGATGAGGAACCTGGTTTTGCTGTGGAGGAAGTAGATATCTGTCACAGATGTCAGAATATCCTTTATTAAAAGCTTAAATTACTTGAAATTTGTTGTATCCAGTGACATATGACTTTGAGGATTGGTCATGTAATTAGATAGGAAGAGTTTTTAAATTATGTTGTATGGTTGAACTCAAATCAAAGATTAGAACGATTAAGAAACTTTAAATAAGTTATTTTATATGTACAAAGAATTTTTTTTAATATTAGAATCCTTTTTTCTAATTTACAACTAGACAATTTATTTTATATTTATCTTTAAATTTATAAATACTTTATTTTGAAAAGTTCTTCTGTTTTAATAATTTTTACATTCCTGAGTTAAAATAAGCTAATTAAGTAGATTTCTGAATACGAGGACCTATTGCTTTTATTGGGCCAGTATCAGCCCTTTGGATCAGGATCAGGATCATGGAGCACGGTAAAGTGCTTTTGTCCTCAGCGATTGAAATTGACGACCAGCCCAAGCGCGTATAGGAAATTCAGTCAACATCTCTCTCACCTGCTAAATTCATATTCATTCACCAATAATTGATTTGGTGCCTACAAGTTGCATCACCATCACCATCACCACCACCACCACCACCACGCTCTGCAACCTTTGATCTTAATCCAACATCTCTCACTTCTCTAAAATAAAATGTAACAACCTCAGCTTCTAAAGCCTCCCTCGTCGGCTGGCTTCTGCTGCAATCATGGTCTCTTCATCACAAAAAGGCCTTCACACTCTCTTATCAGCCAACCTCAAAAAGCTAACCATCACACCACCCTCCGCTTCTTCTCCCGACTTCGACTTCTCTGAAGTTTTCGGACCCTTAACTCCCCACCACAACAACAACAACTCCGCCCAATCACCTGCTTCCACGTCATCAGCTTCCGCTTTCTTAGCGGACCCACCTGTTATCTACAACCGTTCCCACTCCTTCGTGGGTCCATCCCCTCGCTACACCCTCTCCTCTTCTCTCCCTCTCCAAATCCAAGAACTTGAAAACGAAAGCCTTGAAATTGCTAGTGAAAGTGAGAGTGAAATTAAAAGCGAGAAAAAGATCGGGCCGGGAGATTTTGAGATACTGAGAGTTGTAGGACAAGGTGCGTTCGGTAAAGTTTTTCAGGTGAGGAAAAAGGTAGATAGAGATGATATTAACGGTGGTGATAGTGATGGTGATGGGGATGGGGATGGGGATGGGATATATGCAATGAAAGTGATGAGAAAAGAAACGATAATAAAGAAGAATCATGTGGATTACATGAAGGCTGAGAGGGATATTCTCACCAAAGTCATGCATCCTTTCATTGTTCAGCTTCGCTATTCTTTCCAGGTAATTTTTTTAAAGTTAATTGGATTCAATGTTTATTTAGTGTCTATTTACTGTTGTTTTATGGATGAACTTTCGCAGACAAACTGTAAGCTGTATTTGATCTTGGACTTTATAAATGGAGGACATCTCTTCTTTCATCTGTATAGGCAGGGGATTTTCAGGTAATTTGTTTTAAACTTATGAAATTTCCTTTGTGAAGTATGTTCAACTGTTTTGATTGTGACTTTTGGTTTTGTGTATGTCTTGAGTAGTGAGGATCAAGCTAGGATTTATACTGCTGAGATAGTATGTGCTGTTGCACATCTTCACAAGTGTGGGATCGTGCATCGTGATCTTAAACCTGAAAATATACTCATGGACGTTGATGGGCATGTAATAGACCTCTTGTACTCAACTTTATGCTTTTAAAATAATGATATTAATTTAAGCTATGAGTTATTTTACCTTTTTGTTGAACATATGTTTAATTCCTAAATGTGATGCTTGTTTTATAGGTTATGCTAACTGATTTTGGACTGGCAAAGGAAATTGATGAATCAAGCAGATCAAATTCAATGTGTGGGACAACCGAGTACATGGCGCCGGAAATTTTACTTTCTAAAGGCCATAACAAGGATGCGGATTGGTGGAGTGTTGGAATACTCCTGTATGAAATGTTAACTGGGCAGGTAAGACCATCTGTGGAATATGCAATGTATATAGATATGTTTGTGTGTGTAAATTTCAACTTTTATTGCTGGTAACTTACAAATTAATACTGCTTGTCTGTATGCGAATAATCAGATGAATTCTTTTTTGGTGTAACATACTTGTACAAGTTTATGAACCACTTTTTTATCCGGTTTTTTCAATTACTTTGCTTGAATTGTTATCCAGTTTTCTTTTTTTTAGGAATGTTTTTAGATTGCTTACCCATTACACAGAGGATTGCCCGTGCCCTGTTGATGTTTTTGACTGACTTATTTAAATTTGTTGTCACTCTTTCTTTCTGGCAGCCACCATTTACTCATGCCAATAGGCAGAAGCTTCAGCAGAGAATTATCAATGAAAAAGTGAAACTTCCACCATTTCTCACCGGCGAAGCACACTCGTTGCTCAAAGGAGTAAGAATTCCATTAGCCCAACACCCCCAACCCCACCCCCCCTCCCCTTCTCCCTGTCCTTTTTTAATTTACAAATTGATGGCTAAAACAATGGAAAATCTTTTTGTTTCAGTTGCTGCAAAAGGATCCAACTAGAAGGTTAGGTAGTGGACCCAATGGAGGAGATGACATCAAACGTCATAAATGGTTTCGGTCAATCAACTGGAAGAAATTGGAGGCTAGAGAACTGGTGCCAAAGTTCAAGCCAGATGTGAGTGGAAAAGATTGTACTGCAAATTTTGACCGGTGCTGGACGACAATGCCTGCAGATGATTCACCAGGTACTACACCGACAGCAGGTGAGCATTTTCAGGGGTATACTTACGTGGCACCTAACCCCTGGCTTTCATCAGATGACAGAAAAGTTCACAACCAAGGAGAAATAAAAGAAAAATAAGAGATCGATAATGAAGGGTAAATGAAAGAAGTCATCTGTCTACATTGTGATGTTAACTCATTGTAAGTTTTTTTTTTTTTTTTCAACCAGAACACAAAATGATACAATATCTACATTATATGTACTCTCTTAAACTGTTCTCATACAAATGACCATAGATTTTCATTCAAGGGGTTTGTAAATGCTCTCATCTGTTGTATTTGTAGATGGCAATAATCCCAGCAGATTTTTAATTGAATAATACTTTTTTATATTAAATTGAAGTGGATTCCGGTCAGAGCTCTTGAGTACACTTTATTCCTTGTTAGAATGAAATATATTTTGATTCTTTTGGTCCAAATATTTAATCTAAGAACTATATGTCAACGAAAATATCTGAAGCCTTATTATTAAATCTCAACCCTTTGTTGTAATCCTGACATGGTAGTGTTTTCCCGAGAAACCAACAGTGGTTTTTAAGATAGAAAATCTTAAATTTCTTGACTGTGTGAGGCAAGACAAACAAAACATGAGCTGGACATGGGATGGAGAAAGTTGGCTGAAATGGTAACGAGGAAAAAAAATAGACTTCATTGCAGTTGTATTGACTAGCCTGAGCTAAGTTGAATTTGCAGAAGGATTATGGTTTTGATGTTGTAAAATAAGAAAAATCAAAAGATAGGAAACTAGATAGAGCTGTATAATGGAGCAGTTCCACTATGATAACGATAAGGTTTATTGGGTCAAGCTGAGGCAATCAGAAATTGAATCCTCTTAATGAGATAGTATACACATTTGATAAAGAGATACTTGGGCATGGCCGAACAATAATGTCTTTCTTGTTAAGCCCTTTTATCTCTTTAGGTAAATTGGAGAGCATCGGAACTGGATAAGGTTCTTAAATCTGATTTAGCACCAATTAAAGCATAGCAGAGTACTGATCTAAAGCACCAAGATGCCTCATGGGTGGCCTTAGTTACAGTGTATTTAGGGACAGAAAGCCATAGGGTGGTTGGTGGATTCCCTCCATGGCTTACTCATGACGGCGATGTAAAACTAGTGACGTTGAGCAGTGACGAAAAAGTCAAAAGAAGCCATTACAAAGAAGAAAGCGGAAAAAGGGCTGTGTAGGGAGAATCTTGTTCCCCGGGACCAAGCAACATATTGCGCTTACACACCTCACTTAAATGCGCTTAACTGCAGCAGCATACCACAGAGAACTCGAATCAGTTTTACCTTAAACAAATTAGGAAAAAGGATCATGTGAATATATAGATATAATCCCAGTTTTCTCTTCCCTGTAAATTACGTTGATCGCCGAGTGTGCCGGTATCTGGAGGAAAGTTATGTGTATGCATATTATGCCATGTGCAATAAACACTTCAAGATATCTAAAGAGGATAGATTCTTCCCAGTGAGGTTTCAACCTTCAGAAAAGGATTTCATTTCCAATGAGAAAGGGATCCACATCCTCAGATTTGGTTGGTTGTCGGTTGTGAAAAAGAGTTAGCACAAATCTAGATGACCCCATTTACTGGACCACTCTATAAACCCCCTAAAATCCATTGCTTCAAAACCAAGTTTCATAAGCTTATTTATAGACCCTGTCCATCATTCAATCTTCAATCATCTCATTTTGTTCTAGGCGTGTAGTTTGTGTTATACTTTTTTAGAGTAGCCATGAGAGGTAAGGATAGAAGCAATTCTCTTCGTGATAATTCAATGAAGATGGTGGTCAATATCGTCAAACAGTCATCTTTTTCCATTGCCAACATGAGTCTTGGAGTTGCCAAACCTTCCACAACTGCCAAAGATCTTGGACTTAGGAAAGGCTCTATCGCGGGTGATAATGAACCGCTGCTTCCTCAGTTTCCGGGGAGCCAAAAGTCAGAAAAGCCATGGAACAGTCCAAAGCCTATTTTCTTGATGGAGCCAAGCGGAGAGGATAAGTCTTCATATGCGAATAAATTGCATGAAGAGAAATTCGCTAACTACATAATGAAGGTGCACCAGAAGAACCAAAGTTTTTCTGAGGCATCAAATCTTTCACAAGACATACTGCCACCTCCACCTCGCGCAGTGATGTAGCCAGTTATATCTTTGTTATGCATTTAAATTATGATTCCAGTTACCCTGTTTAGAATAAACCACTAAATAAAACAAAATATTTTGTAGTAATTTTTCTTTATTGTCGATTTTTGTTTTCAGAAGTGTACATATAATTAATTTCTGTATTTGGTTTTCTTTTATCCCTTGTTGCCTGGAGCTCATGGGGCAGGACATTATAAATGCTCTGTTTGTACTATATAATTTTTGTTGTCTCCTTCTATTTAAAGATAAATTTTCCATTGTGGATTAGTCTATGCTTAATCATAGAGATATGATACAGACATCATATCTTGATTGGGGATAACATTACAACCACTTGAAAGATTCCAATCCCTAAAATACTAATATCTCTGATAGAATTACTCTGTTTTCAGGAAATGCTTTCCTGTCAATTTAGATAAATCTCAAGAATCAGGGGAATCTATGATCGATCATGTAGGTCCTGGAAGAAGTAGAGAAGGAAGGGCAAGCAATCTTGGTCTTTGATAATATAAACAACCCCACGTGATTTCAATAATATCTAAATCAAAGACTATTGCAAAAGGATCTTTTATTACTGTTTATGAGGAAGTTTGTTGATAAAATTTTACTACTGTATAAAAGAAGTAGCCAGTATTCAAATTCCAAACTCTATTGTTCTTTATTTATATAATGCAGAGATAGTATGAACTTTTTTTCTAATCCCATAACCATGATGCCATAATACCATGCCCACAAAGTCTGATAAAAAAAAGGTTTGATGTTACTTACAATCTTATATCACCAAGGAGATCCTTTTAATGTTCTTAGTTTTTTGTTCAATATATATATAAATGACAACACATACATCTAGGGGTGGGAAAAAAAAAAAACCAAAAACTGGACTGAAACCAAACCCAAAATCCAGTTTTTTTAAAAACCAGTTCGGTTTCGGTTAGAAAAATAATTGAACCGGTTTCCGCTGGTGGTTGAGTATGGTAGAAGGTATCTTGTGTGTTGTGTTTTGCAAAACTCTGTTTTTAAATTATTTTTTATTTAAAAACTGGTTTTCCAAACCAAATTATCGGTCCGGTTTACAACCAGTTTAAGCTGTAAATCGGTTCGATTTTTTGCTTTAACCAGTTTTTTCCACCCCTAAAATTATCATATCAAAGTAGACCAGGACATAATCTATGAAACCTTGTGAAAGGATCATGATTCCATAAATGAATACAATATAATAACATTTATGATTCTTATATTTTTAATATAGAAAAATTAATAAAGATGGTGCATGAATATGAATATGGAGAAGAAGAAAAAAAATATTTAATAGGAAAGAAACAATGTAATGAGAGTTTTAGAAGAAATGGATTACAGAGAGTAAAGCAAGCAAGAAGAATCTTCATTTAACAACCACCTGGTTAACAAAAGTGCCAGATTGAATTACCTGGAATTTATACTCCATCATTATGCAAAAAACATTTTCAAAAGGAGACAGCATCTTTAAAGTCTATTACCAGGCATTTTCCTTTCTGTGTCAACTAAGCCAATCATCTTGAAATAGTATTTTATTAAAGAAAACCGCCCAACAAATTTCTAATTGAAAGTTTTGTCTTCAGGATATCACACAACTTTTTCTTGCAAAACCACTCAACGAATTACTTCATTACAGACTTTCAGTGCAGCTCCATGAGGATCTCTATGGGGTCCAGCTAGAATACTACAATCTCTCCATTTCAAGGAAAAGTAGATAGCCAAAGATTGGTTCTTTAATAAAGCGTGTATTGAAATGGATATCTGGTCTTATAAAATAAGTGAACCCCATAAAGAAAATTTTGCCTTGGCTTTGCTTTAATAAAGCAGGTTCCTCCTACGAGATTTTATATAGATTTGTATGCGTTTATTCATTTATTGCTTGGAAGCAAAAAAATTCATAGTTTAATCCAAACCCATTTCGTGTGTTGCCAAGCAATTGCTTCAACAGTTTTCGGAGACTAGGTAAAAGCTACAAGAAATGTTGAAGTCAATGTGTTCCTTCTCTTCTGTTTTTCAAATTGCCCAGAAACTGCGTTTTTGAAACTTTTTGCTCATTTTATTCATAGCAATAATCTGTCACCAAAGTATCTATAACTGTAGTTGCTATTTATTTACATAATAATCTTTAAATTGTTCCTGAATTGCATATAGGTTTTTATCTGCTAAATGGGTAGCTTCAGTAGCTTGGGGATTCATTTCATTTATCTTTGTTTACGCATTCATGATGTTACTGCCGGTCTCCCAAGTTGCGCTTTTGAGAAACAAAGCAACTCCAAGAAACCGAAAAAGGAATTTCGAAGACAATCCCAATTTTCTTTATCCACGCATCCATCACACCATTTCCATTGGTACCACCCAAGAAAAAGAATTCAAACAGGCAAACAATGTCTCAACCACACTTGAAGTTGCACACAGTTTTTCCACTTTTTTTCTTTTCTTTTTTTTCTGTCGCCTCTTATCGTCATAGTTCTAATTCAATTTGCTAACCTCAACCAAACTTACAGGGAGTTGGTTGGTTTAACAAAATTTCCTATCCAATGTAATTAAAATCAATTGCTCCTTCAGTGCCGTCTTCAAACATATTTAGAAAATTGTTTAATTCATATATAGCTGAAAATTGCACATAAGCAGCGTAGGCCCCCTTCCACCGCCCGCCATGCAAAGTGGAAGCTCAACATAAACGTAAAGTAAACATTGATGATTAAACCACAATACCCCAAATCTCAAACTCTCTTTGTTAACAAATACCCATCGGATGGGATGGGACTGATTTTAGTCCACATTCATTTGGCAGCCGCAATTTTGAGTGATTTGAATGACCACCACTCATGTTTTTCTTAACTCCTTTTCCTTTTGAACAGTAATAATATCGTAATGGAAAAATAAACAACTGTTTCTTAATTCGTGGTAAAATACAATTTTTCAGATAAGGAAGATTATGGCTATTGAACCAAGGAATTAACCTTACGATCAAGAATTTTTACTTTCTTTATTGATTTTTTGAGTTCTAACTATCTTGAAATTACCTGTGATTTACCTTAAAACATTAGATTTGTAAAATATTTAATAAACCCCAAAGATTAACTTAAAACATTAAATTTGTAAAGTATTTAATAAACCCCAAAGATTAACTGGGACAGGCATATATTCTGCAAGGCTCCAACCCAGTTCAAGACGGTCTAGGATTGGTTGATATGGGGGAGAGAATCCAAGCCCCAAAAGGCAAAGCCAAGTTTTGAAAATAAAATCGTTTCAACTGTAAGAATCCTTCTTTTCATTATTTTTTATTTTTATTAATCTTTCTTGAATACTCTTAACCTAAACACCAAATTCATGTGAATAATAATAATAAAGGTCTTGTCAACTGTGCTCAAAGCTCAGCTTCATGTAAATTGCTTTTCCACATAGCAAAAATTAGTCTAATACTACCCACTAGAAGCCGCTTGTATGGAGGAAGGCCCTTTCACCATAGAAATCATCGAAGTCACCCACCTGCAGGAGATAACAAGCCCTATAAAATTGACATGACAGCATCCTTTGCCTCTTTAATTAAAGACCAATCGAGCCATAGATGTAAACCCACCACACAAATGACAACTCACTTTGCTCTTTATATAAATCCAAAGATAAGGTATCCTCTGTGTGCCCCATACCATACCACCAGTCATTAAAAGGGTACATCTATCCAAATCCATTAATGAGGACCATATTCAATACCACATTCATTCCCAAAATTCAATCACATAAAAAAGAGAGAAGATAAAAAAATGCTTCCCTACCACTAACATCCAACTTGATATTTTCCTTCATAAAGTGATCAACACCACTAGATGTCAGACAACAGATCTACCAAGATCATAATGAAAGGAGAATATAAGGTTTATCATCAGTTATATTAATTATACTGGACAAACAGACAAATTAGCAAGAATTAAAGATAATTCCATCATAAAACCAACAACACAGCAACAGGAAATCATAGTCTTTTTCATGCTCTGTACAACAACAAAGGATCATTAACAGTCACCTAATTATCTTATCATCATCTCCCTCTAATTATCCACCTTTCCTTCAACTCTTATTTCCCTTCTCAAGCAACACTGATCATGTTATTGCCATCCCCATTATTTAAGGTGGGCATCACCTGAAAAGCTGAATGCCTTGATGATGAAGATTCCCTTTGACCCGACGGCAAGGACAGCTTAAGGGACAATGGCGATGGATCCATCATTAGATTCAAATTCAAGTTAAGATCGGACATTTTTACAGCTTGAGGAGCTGGAACCACAGGAATTGGGCGGACGAGATTTGTCCCCATTATGATTGATTGATTGAGTTGTCCTAATGTCAGATTTTCCATTGGATTCTCAGTCGTTACCGGTAAAGCTACAGGCACAGGACGCATCACAGCAAAGTTGTTTGTTTCAAGCTGCTGCAGAGTCGCCGATGTATTGTTGTCTAGCTGATCAACTTGCTCATCCTCTATTGGAATATCCGCCACCTGAAAGAGTTCAACCCACAAAATCTTAACTTTGTTAGGTTTATGATCTATACTTTTTACAAGTTTGACATGAGATCCAAGAAAAAAAAAATATTTTTCTCATTGTTTGAATTGATTGATTTGAGTCAACTTATTCAGATTCAACTTCATTTTATTATAGTTTCTCAATGTTTGAATTGATTGATTTAAGTCAACTAATTCAGATTCAAGAAATCAAAGTGAAATGGTTACCGAATCTGTAGTGATATCAAAGAGGCTAGATCGGCGGCGTCGACGGTTGAGATTGCTCCGGCGAAGAAAGTACTTCTGAGCATGACTAGCCACCTGTGTTGGAGTTCTTGTCTTAACGAAATTTCTAGATATTCCTCTCCAGTCTCCTCTCCCTACTTTCTGTAACCCTAACAAGAACAGCTTATGCTCTTCCTCCGTCCAAGGCACTCCTAATATTATCCAATTAAATTAAATAAAAAAAATCAACAACAAAATTGTAAATTCATGAGACTAAAACTTAAACAAAAAGAGATCTGAATCCAACCTCGCTTCCGCTCGCGACTCGCTCTAGAGTTCGGAACAGCGTCGTCAGCAGAGGCGTAACCAGCAGCCACCACGTCATCCTTCTTGTTGTTGTTGTTGTTGTTATCGTTACCGTTGTTTTCATGAGGTTGTTCATACTGAGACAAGTTATTCATACTCACACTCTTCCTCATGGAATCCACCACCACTCTCACGCCAAACAACATAATCTCGCCGCCGTCGGTGACGGAGGAGCCACTGGTATCCGACATCGTACGAGTTGATAAAATTTTATACTGTATAAAAGAAGTAGCCAGTATTCAAATTCCAAACTCTATTGTTCTTTATTTATATAATGCAGAGATAGTATGAACTTTTTTTCTAATCCCAAACCATGATGCCATAATACCATGCCCCAAAGTCTGATAAAAAAAAGTTTGATGTTACTTAAATCATATCACCAAGGAGATCTTTTAATGTTCTTAGTTTTTTGTTCAATATATATATAAATGACAACAATACAATCTAGGGGTGGAAAAAAAAAACCAAAAAATGACGAAACCAAACCCAAAATCGTTTTTTAAAAACCGTGGTTTCGGTTAGAAAAATAATTGAACCGGTTTCGCTGGTGTTGAGTTATGGAGAAGGTATCTTGGTGTTTGTGTTTTGCAAAATTTTCTTAAATTATTTTTATTTAAAAAGTTTTCAAACAAATTATCGGTCCGGTTACAACCAGTTTAAGCGTAAATCGGTTCGTTTTTTGTTTAACCAGCTTTTTCCACCCCTAAAATTATCATATCAAAGTAGAACGGACATAATTATAACCTGTGAAAGGATCATGATTCCTAAATGAATACAATATAATAACATTTATTATTCTTATATTTTAATATAAAAATTAATAAAGATGGTGCATGAATATGAATATGGAGAAGAAGAAAAAAAAATTTAATAGGAAAGAAACAATGTAATGAGAGTTTTAGAGAAAATGGATCAGAGAGTAAAGCAAGCAAGAAGAATCTATTTAACAACCACCTGGTTAACAAAAGTCCAAAATCCATATCCATTATGAAAAAACATTTTCAAAAGGAGAAGCATCTTTAAAGTCTATTACCAGGCATTTTCCTTTCCGTGTCAACTAAGCCAATCTCTTGAAATAGTATTTTATTAAAGAAACCCCCCAACAATTTCTAATTGAAAGTTTGTCTTCAGGATATCACACAACTTTTCTTGCAAAACCACTCAACGAATTACTTCATTACAGACTTTCAGTGCAGTCATGAGGATCTCTATGGGGTCCAGCTAGAATACTACAATCTCTCCATTTCAAGGAAAAGTAGATAGCCAAAGATTGGTTCTTAATAAAGCGTGTATTGAAATGGATATCTGGTCTTATAAAATAAGTGAACCCATAAAGAAAATTTTGCCTGGTTTGCTTTAATAAAGCAGGTTCCTCTAAGAGATTTATATAGTTATTAGTTGTATGCGTTTATTCATTATGTTGGAAGCAAAAATCATAGTTTAATCCAAACCCATTTGTGTGTTGCCAAGCAATTGCTCAACAGTTTTCGGAGACTAGAAAAGCTACAAGAAATGTTGAAGTCAATGTGTTCCTTTTTCTGTTTTTCAAATTGCCAGAAACTGCGTTTTGAAACTTTTGCTCATTTATTCATAGCACATAATCTGTCCCAAAGTATCTTAACTGTAGTTGCTATTTATTTACATAATAATCTTTAAATTGTTCCTGAATTGCATATAGGTTTTATCTGTAAAGGTAGCTTCAGTGCTTGGGGATTATTTCATTTATCTTTGTTTACGCATTCATGATGTTACTGCCGGTCTCACTCCCAAACAAAGCAACTCCAAGAAACCGAAAAAGGAATTTCGAAGACAATCTCAATTTTTTTCTATACACCATTTCCATTGGTACCACCCAAGAAAAAGAATTCAAACAGGCAAACAATGTTCAACCACACTTGAAGTTGCACAAGTTTTTCCACTTTTTTTTTTTTTTTTTTTCTGTCGCCTCTTATCGTCATAGTTCTAATTCAATTTGCTAACCTCAACCAAACTTACAGGGAGTTGGTTGGTTTAACAAAATTTCCTATAAAATCAATTGCTCCTTCAGTGCCGTCTTCAAACATATTTAGAAAATTGTTTAATTTATAGCTGAAAATGCACATAAGCAGCGTAGGCCCCCTTCCACCGCCCGCCATGCAAAGTGGAAGCTAACATAAACGTAAAGTAAACATTGATGATTAAACCACAATACCCCAATCTCAAACTCTCTTTGTTAACAAATACCCATCGGATGGAGGGGAGATTTTAGTCCAATTCATTTGGCAGTTCAAGGGGTTTGTAAATGCTCTCATCTGTTGTATTTGTAGATGGCAATAATCCCAGCAGATTTTTAATTGAATAATACTTTTTTATATTAAATTGAAGTGGATTCCGGTCAGAGCTCTTGAGTACACTTTATTCCTTGTTAGAATGAAATATATTTTGATTCTTTTGGTCCAAATATTTAATCTAAGAACTATATGTCAACGAAAATATCTGAAGCCTTATTATTAAATCTCAACCCTTTGTTGTAATCCTGACATGGTAGTGTTTTCCCGAGAAACCAACAGTGGTTTTTAAGATAGAAAATCTTAAATTTCTTGACTGTGTGAGGCAAGACAAACAAAACATGAGCTGGACATGGGATGGAGAAAGTTGGCTGAAATGGTAACGAGGAAAAAAAATAGACTTCATTGCAGTTGTATTGACTAGCCTGAGCTAAGTTGAATTTGCAGAAGGATTATGGTTTTGATGTTGTAAAATAAGAAAAATCAAAAGATAGGAAACTAGATAGAGCTGTATAATGGAGCAGTTCCACTATGATAACGATAAGGTTTATTGGGTCAAGCTGAGGCAATCAGAAATTGAATCCTCTTAATGAGATAGTATACACATTTGATAAAGAGATACTTGGGCATGGCCGAACAATAATGTCTTTCTTGTTAAGCCCTTTTATCTCTTTAGGTAAATTGGAGAGCATCGGAACTGGATAAGGTTCTTAAATCTGATTTAGCACCAATTAAAGCATAGCAGAGTACTGATCTAAAGCACCAAGATGCCTCATGGGTGGCCTTAGTTACAGTGTATTTAGGGACAGAAAGCCATAGGGTGGTTGGTGGATTCCCTCCATGGCTTACTCATGACGGCGATGTAAAACTAGTGACGTTGAGCAGTGACGAAAAAGTCAAAAGAAGCCATTACAAAGAAGAAAGCGGAAAAAGGGCTGTGTAGGGAGAATCTTGTTCCCCGGGACCAAGCAACATATTGCGCTTACACACCTCACTTAAATGCGCTTAACTGCAGCAGCATACCACAGAGAACTCGAATCAGTTTTACCTTAAACAAATTAGGAAAAAGGATCATGTGAATATATAGATATAATCCCAGTTTTCTCTTCCCTGTAAATTACGTTGATCGCCGAGTGTGCCGGTATCTGGAGGAAAGTTATGTGTATGCATATTATGCCATGTGCAATAAACACTTCAAGATATCTAAAGAGGATAGATTCTTCCCAGTGAGGTTTCAACCTTCAGAAAAGGATTTCATTTCCAATGAGAAAGGGATCCACATCCTCAGATTTGGTTGGTTGTCGGTTGTGAAAAAGAGTTAGCACAAATCTAGATGACCCCATTTACTGGACCACTCTATAAACCCCCTAAAATCCATTGCTTCAAAACCAAGTTTCATAAGCTTATTTATAGACCCTGTCCATCATTCAATCTTCAATCATCTCATTTTGTTCTAGGCGTGTAGTTTGTGTTATACTTTTTTAGAGTAGCCATGAGAGGTAAGGATAGAAGCAATTCTCTTCGTGATAATTCAATGAAGATGGTGGTCAATATCGTCAAACAGTCATCTTTTTCCATTGCCAACATGAGTCTTGGAGTTGCCAAACCTTCCACAACTGCCAAAGATCTTGGACTTAGGAAAGGCTCTATCGCGGGTGATAATGAACCGCTGCTTCCTCAGTTTCCGGGGAGCCAAAAGTCAGAAAAGCCATGGAACAGTCCAAAGCCTATTTTCTTGATGGAGCCAAGCGGAGAGGATAAGTCTTCATATGCGAATAAATTGCATGAAGAGAAATTCGCTAACTACATAATGAAGGTGCACCAGAAGAACCAAAGTTTTTCTGAGGCATCAAATCTTTCACAAGACATACTGCCACCTCCACCTCGCGCAGTGATGTAGCCAGTTATATCTTTGTTATGCATTTAAATTATGATTCCAGTTACCCTGTTTAGAATAAACCACTAAATAAAACAAAATATTTTGTAGTAATTTTTCTTTATTGTCGATTTTTGTTTTCAGAAGTGTACATATAATTAATTTCTGTATTTGGTTTTCTTTTATCCCTTGTTGCCTGGAGCTCATGGGGCAGGACATTATAAATGCTCTGTTTGTACTATATAATTTTTGTTGTCTCCTTCTATTTAAAGATAAATTTTCCATTGTGGATTAGTCTATGCTTAATCATAGAGATATGATACAGACATCATATCTTGATTGGGGATAACATTACAACCACTTGAAAGATTCCAATCCCTAAAATACTAATATCTCTGATAGAATTACTCTGTTTTCAGGAAATGCTTTCCTGTCAATTTAGATAAATCTCAAGAATCAGGGGAATCTATGATCGATCATGTAGGTCCTGGAAGAAGTAGAGAAGGAAGGGCAAGCAATCTTGGTCTTTGATAATATAAACAACCCCACGTGATTTCAATAATATCTAAATCAAAGACTATTGCAAAAGGATCTTTTATTACTGTTTATGAGGAAGTTTGTTGATAAAATTTTACTACTGTATAAAAGAAGTAGCCAGTATTCAAATTCCAAACTCTATTGTTCTTTATTTATATAATGCAGAGATAGTATGAACTTTTTTTCTAATCCCATAACCATGATGCCATAATACCATGCCCACAAAGTCTGATAAAAAAAAGGTTTGATGTTACTTACAATCTTATATCACCAAGGAGATCCTTTTAATGTTCTTAGTTTTTTGTTCAATATATATATAAATGACAACACATACATCTAGGGGTGGGAAAAAAAAAAAACCAAAAACTGGACTGAAACCAAACCCAAAATCCAGTTTTTTTAAAAACCAGTTCGGTTTCGGTTAGAAAAATAATTGAACCGGTTTCCGCTGGTGGTTGAGTATGGTAGAAGGTATCTTGTGTGTTGTGTTTTGCAAAACTCTGTTTTTAAATTATTTTTTATTTAAAAACTGGTTTTCCAAACCAAATTATCGGTCCGGTTTACAACCAGTTTAAGCTGTAAATCGGTTCGATTTTTTGCTTTAACCAGTTTTTTCCACCCCTAAAATTATCATATCAAAGTAGACCAGGACATAATCTATGAAACCTTGTGAAAGGATCATGATTCCATAAATGAATACAATATAATAACATTTATGATTCTTATATTTTTAATATAGAAAAATTAATAAAGATGGTGCATGAATATGAATATGGAGAAGAAGAAAAAAAATATTTAATAGGAAAGAAACAATGTAATGAGAGTTTTAGAAGAAATGGATTACAGAGAGTAAAGCAAGCAAGAAGAATCTTCATTTAACAACCACCTGGTTAACAAAAGTGCCAGATTGAATTACCTGGAATTTATACTCCATCATTATGCAAAAAACATTTTCAAAAGGAGACAGCATCTTTAAAGTCTATTACCAGGCATTTTCCTTTCTGTGTCAACTAAGCCAATCATCTTGAAATAGTATTTTATTAAAGAAAACCGCCCAACAAATTTCTAATTGAAAGTTTTGTCTTCAGGATATCACACAACTTTTTCTTGCAAAACCACTCAACGAATTACTTCATTACAGACTTTCAGTGCAGCTCCATGAGGATCTCTATGGGGTCCAGCTAGAATACTACAATCTCTCCATTTCAAGGAAAAGTAGATAGCCAAAGATTGGTTCTTTAATAAAGCGTGTATTGAAATGGATATCTGGTCTTATAAAATAAGTGAACCCCATAAAGAAAATTTTGCCTTGGCTTTGCTTTAATAAAGCAGGTTCCTCCTACGAGATTTTATATAGATTTGTATGCGTTTATTCATTTATTGCTTGGAAGCAAAAAAATTCATAGTTTAATCCAAACCCATTTCGTGTGTTGCCAAGCAATTGCTTCAACAGTTTTCGGAGACTAGGTAAAAGCTACAAGAAATGTTGAAGTCAATGTGTTCCTTCTCTTCTGTTTTTCAAATTGCCCAGAAACTGCGTTTTTGAAACTTTTTGCTCATTTTATTCATAGCAATAATCTGTCACCAAAGTATCTATAACTGTAGTTGCTATTTATTTACATAATAATCTTTAAATTGTTCCTGAATTGCATATAGGTTTTTATCTGCTAAATGGGTAGCTTCAGTAGCTTGGGGATTCATTTCATTTATCTTTGTTTACGCATTCATGATGTTACTGCCGGTCTCCCAAGTTGCGCTTTTGAGAAACAAAGCAACTCCAAGAAACCGAAAAAGGAATTTCGAAGACAATCCCAATTTTCTTTATCCACGCATCCATCACACCATTTCCATTGGTACCACCCAAGAAAAAGAATTCAAACAGGCAAACAATGTCTCAACCACACTTGAAGTTGCACACAGTTTTTCCACTTTTTTTCTTTTCTTTTTTTTCTGTCGCCTCTTATCGTCATAGTTCTAATTCAATTTGCTAACCTCAACCAAACTTACAGGGAGTTGGTTGGTTTAACAAAATTTCCTATCCAATGTAATTAAAATCAATTGCTCCTTCAGTGCCGTCTTCAAACATATTTAGAAAATTGTTTAATTCATATATAGCTGAAAATTGCACATAAGCAGCGTAGGCCCCCTTCCACCGCCCGCCATGCAAAGTGGAAGCTCAACATAAACGTAAAGTAAACATTGATGATTAAACCACAATACCCCAAATCTCAAACTCTCTTTGTTAACAAATACCCATCGGATGGGATGGGACTGATTTTAGTCCACATTCATTTGGCAGCCGCAATTTTGAGTGATTTGAATGACCACCACTCATGTTTTTCTTAACTCCTTTTCCTTTTGAACAGTAATAATATCGTAATGGAAAAATAAACAACTGTTTCTTAATTCGTGGTAAAATACAATTTTTCAGATAAGGAAGATTATGGCTATTGAACCAAGGAATTAACCTTACGATCAAGAATTTTTACTTTCTTTATTGATTTTTTGAGTTCTAACTATCTTGAAATTACCTGTGATTTACCTTAAAACATTAGATTTGTAAAATATTTAATAAACCCCAAAGATTAACTTAAAACATTAAATTTGTAAAGTATTTAATAAACCCCAAAGATTAACTGGGACAGGCATATATTCTGCAAGGCTCCAACCCAGTTCAAGACGGTCTAGGATTGGTTGATATGGGGGAGAGAATCCAAGCCCCAAAAGGCAAAGCCAAGTTTTGAAAATAAAATCGTTTCAACTGTAAGAATCCTTCTTTTCATTATTTTTTATTTTTATTAATCTTTCTTGAATACTCTTAACCTAAACACCAAATTCATGTGAATAATAATAATAAAGGTCTTGTCAACTGTGCTCAAAGCTCAGCTTCATGTAAATTGCTTTTCCACATAGCAAAAATTAGTCTAATACTACCCACTAGAAGCCGCTTGTATGGAGGAAGGCCCTTTCACCATAGAAATCATCGAAGTCACCCACCTGCAGGAGATAACAAGCCCTATAAAATTGACATGACAGCATCCTTTGCCTCTTTAATTAAAGACCAATCGAGCCATAGATGTAAACCCACCACACAAATGACAACTCACTTTGCTCTTTATATAAATCCAAAGATAAGGTATCCTCTGTGTGCCCCATACCATACCACCAGTCATTAAAAGGGTACATCTATCCAAATCCATTAATGAGGACCATATTCAATACCACATTCATTCCCAAAATTCAATCACATAAAAAAGAGAGAAGATAAAAAAATGCTTCCCTACCACTAACATCCAACTTGATATTTTCCTTCATAAAGTGATCAACACCACTAGATGTCAGACAACAGATCTACCAAGATCATAATGAAAGGAGAATATAAGGTTTATCATCAGTTATATTAATTATACTGGACAAACAGACAAATTAGCAAGAATTAAAGATAATTCCATCATAAAACCAACAACACAGCAACAGGAAATCATAGTCTTTTTCATGCTCTGTACAACAACAAAGGATCATTAACAGTCACCTAATTATCTTATCATCATCTCCCTCTAATTATCCACCTTTCCTTCAACTCTTATTTCCCTTCTCAAGCAACACTGATCATGTTATTGCCATCCCCATTATTTAAGGTGGGCATCACCTGAAAAGCTGAATGCCTTGATGATGAAGATTCCCTTTGACCCGACGGCAAGGACAGCTTAAGGGACAATGGCGATGGATCCATCATTAGATTCAAATTCAAGTTAAGATCGGACATTTTTACAGCTTGAGGAGCTGGAACCACAGGAATTGGGCGGACGAGATTTGTCCCCATTATGATTGATTGATTGAGTTGTCCTAATGTCAGATTTTCCATTGGATTCTCAGTCGTTACCGGTAAAGCTACAGGCACAGGACGCATCACAGCAAAGTTGTTTGTTTCAAGCTGCTGCAGAGTCGCCGATGTATTGTTGTCTAGCTGATCAACTTGCTCATCCTCTATTGGAATATCCGCCACCTGAAAGAGTTCAACCCACAAAATCTTAACTTTGTTAGGTTTATGATCTATACTTTTTACAAGTTTGACATGAGATCCAAGAAAAAAAAAATATTTTTCTCATTGTTTGAATTGATTGATTTGAGTCAACTTATTCAGATTCAACTTCATTTTATTATAGTTTCTCAATGTTTGAATTGATTGATTTAAGTCAACTAATTCAGATTCAAGAAATCAAAGTGAAATGGTTACCGAATCTGTAGTGATATCAAAGAGGCTAGATCGGCGGCGTCGACGGTTGAGATTGCTCCGGCGAAGAAAGTACTTCTGAGCATGACTAGCCACCTGTGTTGGAGTTCTTGTCTTAACGAAATTTCTAGATATTCCTCTCCAGTCTCCTCTCCCTACTTTCTGTAACCCTAACAAGAACAGCTTATGCTCTTCCTCCGTCCAAGGCACTCCTAATATTATCCAATTAAATTAAATAAAAAAAATCAACAACAAAATTGTAAATTCATGAGACTAAAACTTAAACAAACAGAGATCTGAATCCAACCTCGCTTCCGCTCGCGACTCGCTCTAGAGTTCGGAACAGCGTCGTCAGCAGAGGCGTAACCAGCAGCCACCACGTCATCCTTCTTGTTGTTGTTGTTGTTGTTATCGTTACCGTTGTTTTCATGAGGTTGTTCATACTGAGACAAGTTATTCATACTCACACTCTTCCTCATGGAATCCACCACCACTCTCACGCCAAACAACATAATCTCGCCGCCGTCGGTGACGGAGGAGCCACTGGTATCCGACATCGTACGATGAGAAAGAAGAAAATAAAACAGCAAGTTGAAGAAAAAGAAATGAGTAAGTTAATGTAGACTGTGATATGAAGAGCTGGAACTTATATTTATAGAACGGGATGACTGATGTGGAATTGACAACTGGTAGCATGTGTGTACGGTTCCCACGTGGCATTTATTGGTTCGTCTATTTGGCTTAGTTGTGTGATGTCTACTGTATATTTATCGGCTCAAATTTTTTTTTTTTTATTAATTTATTTATTTCTCGTACTCCTCTACCATCTAATTATTTGATGAAACAAATTTGAATAGCACGAAAAATGTAAAGATAAATTGAATGTTCACGTTTTGGTTTAACTAATCACCCACCATTTATGTATTAATAATAAGAATTTCACGTTTAAATTAGGCTAATCTGACAGCAGCTTTGCATTATGTCGGCATATAATTGAGCTTGCATGGCCACTAGTGAAAGCACAAGTAAAAGCTAACAAAAATGATAATTGATGAAATGGGTTTTTTCTCATAAAGAGCAAACTACAAGTTCTCACCGAGGTTTAGCAAAATGGCAAATTTTTTGATTTTATATATCTAAATTTTCACTCTTAAATAACATAAAATTATTAAATACGGTTAAAAGGTAAAATTGATATTCAAAATCTTATATCTCAATCAACCAAAATCGCATTAGTTAGGTACAATTCGATAACTAGACCTCTACATGATTCAAACTTCATCACTCTCCTTAACCACATCAAACCCAAACCTAAACCCATACCCTGAAATCAAAACACCTTAGATCCAAAAGCTAAAACAATTCAAGAATACTACGTGCGACTGTCGTCTCAAGCCAATCTGATCTGATTTTGACGTCGTCGGACACCCCCAACACTACCAAACAGTTCTCTTAACCTACACACCAAAACCTTCATCCCCACCCAGAAACACCCGTCAATTGTCGGTCGCCGCTCATCTAGGGTAGGATGCTTCAAGCCAATTTCCATTCAATTCGACACCGAAAATCAACTCCCAACACCACCATTCACCTCACCAACTTCCACTCGCCAAATCCCTTATCATCCCCACCAAGATCTCTCATCAATCGCCAATCATCGCTCATCTAAAGTTTGCGCGTTTCAAGTTGATTTCGATCGATTTTGGCACCAAAAATCAACCCTAACACCACCATTCACCTCATTGGCTCCACTAACAAAACCCATATAGTCCTACTAAGATCAACTATCATCGCAGTGCCGCTCATCTAGGTTCACGTGCTTCAAGCCAATTTCAGCATTGAAAATCAACCTCGACAACACCATTCACTCACATGCATCCCCCTACCAAAACCCTCATATCCTAGACCATGATTGACTATCGGTCGCCATCCACTACTCTCGAACAATTCTGCGCAACAGTGTGATTGGGTTGATCGAGTCTTTTTTGGAGTTCATTTGAAAGGAGATTGATTGTGTTTGGAGTTTATTTGTATTGTTGATTGATTGGGATTTTCGGCGGCCTTTCTCACCATAATTTTTGGCTAGCGATAATACATGTGAAGATAGAGAGAGTGAAGAGAATTTGAGATGAGTTATTTTGAAATCAAAAGTTAAAGGTTTAAGGGTAGTTTGTAAAAACTTTTTATACTATGTCAAACCTAAAAATTAACTAATTAGAACCTAAAATCAAAAGATATATTAAGGGTGAAAATATGAAATAAAAGATTGAAACTAGCCATTTCGCTCATCCTTATGTGGGAACATGTCATTTACTCTCTCATAAATAAATGAGAAGCACATGATAGTGCGCGCAACCTTTCTGAGAAAAATAATATCTTATCCTATCTCTTACTTTTTATTGTTGTGAGTTTAGTCAACCCAGCTTGTCCAATCAATTTGACTTAAAAAATTAACTTAATCATGTGAATAAGTACTTCGTGTTTATATTAATTACACGTCTATTCGAATCAACAAAAGCTTGACTTGAGTTTAATTAGTTTATTATTCTTAAGGAATCAAACTAACCTCCTCCTTTATGAAAAGTTTTTTTAACTCAACGTGCGGTTCATTACATTTACAGAAAAACTGGTTTATCCCCTAATTACATGTCATGTTATAAAATGACTGCAAATATATAATTAAAAAATGAAAGATGAGAAGAGAGAGAATTAAGTCTTGAATGGGTCCTTTTGTTTAATCACTTTCATGGTGGGGTGCATCTGGGAGAATAAGCCAAGATAAGGTTTGTGGGTGCCACCTCTTCTCTCTTTCCTTACCCATTTTGACCTAACATTTTATCACAAGATGCTTCACATACTCGTTCTCTGCAACTTGGTGTCTCTGTCAAACTGATAAAGCTACCTAATTAATAAAAGATGGGTGAATACTAATTGAGCTTTCTGACACACAAAGGGATTATCGACCTTTTTGTATTCAACAGATGCAGGTTTTCTCTGTTCATAAACTTTTGCTTTGGCATTGTGGCGTGTGATTTGAATTCTCTTTTTCGTATCCAATGAATCCAGAATATCTACTAAGTTATTTCCTTGGTGTTAAAGTAATTCATCTATCCCTACACTTGGGAAACGAAAGATCCAACCTAATGATATTTCAAAACGAATTTTACTGTTTTGAGGATAAGATTTGAATGATGAATAAGTTGAACTCCCATATTGAAACCAAAATTGAAGGATAGATCTGTTTATGTATGTGCTTTTTGCTCTGTTAAATGCACAAAGGCTTCCAGTAGTTATAACCAGATCACATCACATTACCAAAAGAAATGGAAGAGAAGCATTATCAGTGCACCCAACCCAAGTGGAGCAGGACTCGTGCAAGGTGCTGAATAAGAAAACAAAACACTAAAATATGTGAAGTGGGTAAACATAATTGTTCAAAAATCTTTGCTAAATATGTTAAAATCTTATCTCTGTTTATCTCAAAGGCATGGTTTCCAGTTTTGTGTAATATGACTTCTTCATTAGTGGTCCATGGCTTTGTAGGTTTTCTCCCATTTTGGTTGACAAGAAATATTTCATTTTGATTTTGTTTCAGTGCACAGCCCCACATCAAACCAAGAATTTTTTATTCTCTTTCATGTGCTTGCAATTCTAAGCCTCTCAACATCACTGTCAAAAAGATTGCATTGAGACTAGATGAAGATCCTACTTCAGCAACAATTTGACACCTCTGACTAAGAAAGGTTTGGACACCATTACAACACTCACATCTGTGTGATGGAGCATATATCTCTAGTACAAATAATAAATATATAGCTTATAATTGCTTTCAGATATATTTATTAAATCATCATAAACCAATTATCAATTACCACTTGGGTTAGTAAAAAAAGGTTTGTAAAATTTGTTTGTCAGCGTAATATTGTCTTAGTACAAAATTTTGTCGTTGAATTAAAATTAAGAACATTGCCATGGAAACCTGTACACCTAAATTGAAGTACATGATATGTGAACAATGAGCTTTCTCTTTTCTGATTAGTCCTAAAATTTCCAAACCTTTCATCCCAGATTTTACATCACCCCTTTCATCATCCAAGCTCTCCTTGCTTTAAATTTGACCAGTAAACAATAATGCCCTGAGCTTCAACACTCTGCAATTTCACCTGCTTCTGGCACTGCATGAGCTGATATCAAACTTGTCACGAGCATAATTTTTTTCCTCCATGCAAACATCAAACGGTATAACAACATTCTTATACTCAACTGTTCCCTTTCTTTCAACTGTAAGTGGGAGACAGAGATCTTCCGAGCATTGAAAACTGATGAATGGATTTTGTATATCTATTTATACTGTGCTTGTCATAAGCTCTGTTCTCGTATTTCTTGTTTCAGAAGCAGAAGTATCATGTTGATCATTCTTTACATCTGTTGCAGATGTTTGTGTTCTGGGTGGAGAAAAGGGTGAGTTACTTAAAGTAATTATGTTATTCTTCGTAGACCCATTTGAAGATGATTCTATGCCTGTCAGAATTCGCTTGAGTTGAGACCGCTGGCAGATAATTCTTCCTTTATTCCATCCTGGGAAATTAAATAAAGGTGATACATCCTGCAGGAATGTGTAAGCAGCCTTCGCTATTGGATAATCTTGTGTGATTGAATTTCTCTCCATGTGTCCCCGTCTGATCAACAGAAGGTAGATCATCATTATAGAAAACTTAAAAATCATACAATTATGTCAAGTCTAATGAATTGTCAGCATATTGCAAAAGATACAATGGTCTGTATCCCTTTAAGGACATACTTGACTTGGAATTATAGGCTAAACCCCTAGTATTTTATACAGTGAAGTTAACATTTGCATCCCAACTCAACCATCTTCTAACCTAACAGGTTTCAACAACATGGGTCTACACCAAGTTCACTAATCACACAAGCAGTTCAGAAATTAGGCATATAGAATTTCCGCTGAGCTTAATCCCAATTAGTCAGCTTTCTGACCAAACAGGGGTGAATAATATAGGTCCATGTATCAAGCTGCAAATTTGAGTGGCCAGCCTATTGCACAACTGTCCAATTTGATTTTCAGGTAAGGTTCAATATTTGGCCTTTTGAGCTGGATTGGGTTTTACCATAGCATGGTCCACAGAGTCTGGCCCAGCACATGTTATGTAATATATCACAAATACCCTTAGGTCCAACCTTGGTTCTTTTATTGCACACATATAATTAGATATGCTACATGAAGAGGCAAAGGTACCTAAGACTGTTCATCCAAGAAAGAAGAAGAACAATGAGTATAGAGCAGCAGTTCGGACAACTGATGTGATAAGAAGTTAACGATGACAAAAGAGGCTGAAAAGACCATGAGTTAAGAAGTTATAAATTCAGAGATGACATGGCCCAAACATAACTAGACAACAAAGAAAAGGTTACAGGAACTCTCAACTGTTGTCTGGCAGAGTTGGGCTGGGCAAACATGACTCAGACAACCCAATCCAGTATTCTCTCCCTCAAAGAGGATAAAACAGAAATCATGATAGCTCTGAGGAAAAAACTACTTACACTACAACAACAGTTGCAAGTTGAGGAAGATCTTCGCCACTTGTGAACATCTCATACATATTGTTGAGCCAAACTGATATTGCTGTATATGCACTGCCTTCCCACATTCTGTAAAACAATCAACTTATAGATTAAAAGAAAATTACTATAAAATAAAAAATAAAAAAAAATTACTTGAGAAAGTAATTTTTCATGGTACCTGTGGATATCCACAGACCAAACAAGTCTGTTATTACGAAAAAGTTCAGGGAAAAGACCCCTCTTTGTGGCTTCATGAAGCACTCTTGCAGCCCGTTCTCTCTGGCCAAGCCACCAAAGTGCTTCCAAAAGTGCATTGTAGAACCTCATTCCCAAACCGCAACCTTCAGAGTTAAGTTTGTCAAAGACATACTCTACCATCTGCCAGTTAGACTCATCATCATATTCTCCCTTGATCATCTTCCCAGTTACTTGGTGGATATTTGACACTCTATTTGTGTACATCTCATCTAGTAATTCATAGGCATCGTCCCACCTGAATTAACGAGCTAAAGGGATCAGATATATTGCCAAAAAGGAAATAGGCGTAAACAGCTTATATCACATTTATAAATTACATGAATTAATTATAATGTCACAAGTTAATAAAAACTAAAACACACTACTTCTGCTTCTCTGGCATTTACAAATTAATTACAGTTGGCCAAGCTCAAAGATGTTATATGCAAATCAATAATTATTTAGCAGATATTCGTTTGCCAAATAGCCCTTACATCTCCCTTTATCATATAACTTTTTTCCAAACTTTAAGCATCACATCCATATGCAATATACATAGTTAAGTGATTTCTATAACTCAAATTTGGTGCACTTCAAGGCAATTTATCAAGATATAAGGACTTTCGTTAGCACTGACAGCCAAAACTTGAACAAAGATAGCTTATCTAAATCAGCAAGAAGTTGCATAAATTAAAGACCTACTGAATATGTATCAAGGCACAGAGAAGACAATATTAAGCAGTTAACGGAAAGTTTAAATTTCACATCCTGACGCCTAAAAAACTTCAAGTAAATTATTGGTATCTTTTGTGCAGTAGCACCACAATATTTACCGATCATGTAATGTTTCATAAAACATATCACAGGACGTAATACTCTTATAAGTTAACTTTCATGAAAGCATAGCATAGTAGCAAGCACATTGTTTTCTCATGCAACCTCACACAAAAAAGACTTCCAAATACTATTTCATTAATAAAAAGCTCAAAAGGATTAAGTTGACAACTTTTTAATCCTTTATGAGAAACAATAATCTGTGCTTGCCAAGCATACATTTCAACCACCAACCATATTCATTTTTATAATAAGTTTGAAAAGAAAGTATATAAATTAAATGTCTCAAATGTCATTAAGAAAAGAATTTGTCATGCAAAATGCGAGTTCATGGTTTTTGTTCACATAGACTTGTCCTTAGATTTTAACAACTTACTAAACTTCTAGATGAACAAGGTGTTAATATTGTATTCTATGATGAAATAAAATAACTTATATCTAAAATATCCACTATATAACAGGATCCCTAGTGTTCAAGTTCTTCACACATTCATGATCTTGAAAGAGAATAAATGCAATTATTGAGACATCTAACCCTTCATGAATGAATAAACCGAGTGAACACCAACCTGTTACTCTTTGCATAAACAGCCAGCATCATACAGTAGCACATAACATTGGGAAATATTCCGAAAGCTTTAATTTCCTGGAATTGTTCCTTACTCTCATCAACAAGGCCTGCGAAGCAGTAAACACTTAAAACTGCCTCAAGGGTCCTCTCATCAGGATCACATCTCACCTTTTCCATCTCAACATATGCCTTTATAGCTTCCTCAAACTGGCCTCCTTGCCTAAAAGATTCAATCACAGCATTGAAGGAATCCCGATTCCTTGAAACACCAGCCTCACCCATTCTTGACAAAATTGCCTCACACTCTTTGTACAGTCCACCTCTTGCAAAGGTATGCAGCACTGAGTTGAAAGTTTCAACAGTTGGGCTGCTCTGCATTTCATTCATTGTGTTAAAAGCAACAAGCGCTTCCTCATACAATGCAGCCTGTCCATATGCTTCAATAACACCAGTGTATGCCTTGGAACTTGGTACTATCCCTCTCTCATTCATGTAAAGTAAAATCTTCTTGACATCCTCATGTAGGCCTCCCTTCCCACAAGCAAAAATCAAACCCTCGTAAGTCTCCATATTCGGCTCAACATTCTCCTCTGCCATATCTTGAAACAAAGTTACCACCTCCTTAAAATACCCACCTTCTCCAAAAACCTGTATCAAAATATTATAAGTAGCTGCATTTGGCTCTGTATTACTCGCTTTCATCTCAAGGAAAAGCTCTCTCACATCATCATACCTCCCATTCCTCCCATACAAATTCAACAAAATACTATAAGTTGCAGCATTTGCAACACACCCTGCTGCCTGCATCTGCCTAAACACTCCCATGGCCTCCTTTATCGACCCCATTTTCGCATGCGCCTCCAATAACACATTATACGATGTTACATCCGGTAAATTCCCTCCTACCTCCATCTGCCCAAGGAGCTCCGAAACCTTTTCTAGTTTCCCCAATTTCCCAAACGTCTCAACGAGATAACTATATGTCGTTAAATCAGGCAATACCCCACCTTCATTCATTGTCCTGAAAACCATCTCCGCCTCATCACCTAAACCTCTAGCACCACAAGCACTTAACAATGTATTATAAGTCACAATATCAGGTTGTATCCCTTCATGTCTCATTTCCGCAAATAATCCTAATAAACCCTCCCAATCTAATCCTCCCCTCGCACAAGCATTGATCACAGTATTATAAGTCAAAATATTAGGCAAAATCTTTTCTCTTTTCATTCTCTCTAAGAGTTCAAGAGATGTTTCATACTGACCGTGACGCCCGTACGCATTAATCAAAGCTGTGTAAGAGAAAACACTTCGCGGCACGCCTTGACTGGGCATTTCCTCGAAAATCTCAGCCGATTTCTCGAGCAAATTCTCGCGCCCTAACAAACTTATCATTATCGTGTATATTTGTTCGTTCGGTTTGCACCAGATCTGTCTCTGCATATATTTAAATAAACGAAGCGAGCGTTGCCAGTCGCCGCGTTGAGCGAATTCCTTGAAGACCAAAGCGAAGTCGTTCAAGGAAAGCTTGTTTTTGAATAAATCGAGGCATCGCGCGATACTGCCACGCGGCGGGAGGGAGCTAAGCTTGTTGATTAGGGTTTCAACGTCGTAGCTATACTTTCCTTTCTGGACGACGACAGAGGGATTGCCGAGGACCAACTCTTTCGGCTTGGCTCGGACTTTCACGGCGAGGGAAGAGAATCCCCGGTCTCCAACGAGGAATATCCGGTGTCCGTATAAGAGTTGTTTGTCACCGGAGAGGAATCTCCGTTGAATGGGGAAATTGAATTGGTAAGGCTTCAAATCTGGTTTCAGAAGTGAAGGATTGGGTATCGAGAGGGTCATCTTGGTGAAATAACTTGCATGGGCTTCGAGAAAATAAAGGAAATGAACTTTTGGGGTGGACTGTTGAGATTTTCTAGCGAATTTTAACGGGAAAGTTACAGGGAAGAAGGGGGTTGGGTTTAAGTGTTAGAACAAGCTCTTGAAGAAAGACACGTGGAGTTTTTGTGGATAACAGGAAAAGGGATATTGGAGGAGGTTTAAGAACCCTGATCCAGTACCCAAATCCGAAGGTTTGACCCGATATTAAGCTAGTTTTTGGCGGTAAATGATTTTTAAACGACAGAGTGACTAAAATGTTTATGATAATAGCAATTATAATTTTTTGTTTATATATAAAGTAACATAAATATAAAATCCTTCAATAATTGACTTGATTTATTTCAAGTTAAAACCAATGGCACCCTTTTATTTTACTATATTTTGAAATCAACAAGTAATATATCTCAAAGAATAATGATATTTATAAGCAAAATAAATTATGTGTATATAAATTTAAAATTGAAATCTTATATTATATCCAACTAATATGATAATTGATTTGATAAGTTAAGTCATTTATCTCATTATATTTTAAATAACAACATATTATTAAATTAAATATCATCTGTAAATATAATATTATTGAAAGAAACGTAACTTATAACCTTTTATCTTTAATATTTGTGAAAACACATAAGTGCCATTTAATAAGAATTAGGAATTAGTTTGAGTAATAGTTTTTTTTGGATAAATAGTTTAAGTAATAGTTGTGTATGAAGAATTTGACTCTTCATTATTTATTATTATTATTCTTTTAATATTAAGTATCTAAATATTATAATCCCAAACTATCAATAATATATTCTTAAATCACCACTGGGTGATGGCACAATGGTATGCGAGTAAAAAGAAGTTTTATAAATTTTTGAATTCAAGTCTTCTTAAACACTAATAGAGATGGGTACTGGACTCTTATTTAACTGTTTCTTCCAGAGTCCTGAAGAATTAGTTGAAATACACATAAATTGTCAGACACCTCGGTGATTAAAAAAAATATTGTTATATATTATATAAATACTATATTATAATTTGGGTCACTATTGAGGGATTTGCCATTTTTATTTTATTTTATTTTATGATTACAATATATTTTGAAATCAATTAGGGGATATAATCTTGAAAATTAATTCCCCATAATTTACATATCTAATAAACCCTCAACAAAATCCAAAGATTAATTAATTAATAGAAAATTAATCTTTTTCTTTTTTGATAATTTATAGTTAGCTGTTATGACATTTGAGAGCGCATTCTGTTAAAACAGTGACGAGGTTGACAACTCAAAAAACCTAAACAACTCTTGTTAAGATTCTCAAAACCCAACCACCTTTTTCACATAAACGGCCTAATCTTCTGTTCGCTACCCACCCCTAGGCCGCAATCACCACTGCCCAACTGTCACACTTCACTTTTCTCAATGCACCTCTTCCCAAAATCACAATATCTTTTTGCCACGTGTCATAAATTCCAGTGTACGCATCAGCTTCACTCCACTACGCGAGCCCCCGCCTTTTGCCTCGCGCCATAAAACCGAACGGAGTTAACGGTTTGTCTTCTCACGGGGAGTCTTGAGTTTGATGAACTAACGAGGGTATTTTGGTAAAATGGACTGAATTTTCAGTCGTAACAGACAGCTGCTAAGGGAAAGCGAAAATAAAACAAAACCATCTCCCTTGTTTCTGTTGTCTAAGCTTTGGTTGAAAGCGAAACGGCAAAACATCACTGTGTTATGCATTTCACTGACCTTAGATAATGTCCGATTCTGAGGTAAATTTTTTCTTTTAAACCCTTTTGTGAACATCTCACTGACTACTAGCGCATCAGTTTGATATTTTGCGGTTTTCTTTTTCTTTGGTGGGGTTTGGGGTTCAGGGTTGATCCTGATTTGTGTGTGTAGTTAAGTTATGTGTTTTAAAGAGTGTTTTTTTTTTAGGGTTTTGTCTGATTTTGACTATAATATTTGGTGTGTGTTGGTTTTGTGGTAGCATAAACTGATGGCCTTGAAGAAGGCGTATGCGGATATAATTTTAAACACGGCGAAAGAGGCGGGGGCGAGGATAATGGTGTCGGAGAGGAAAGCGATGAGGTATCAGAGGGAGCTGTTTTCGGCCAAAGAAGACTCGTTGCGTATGCTGCTTAGGCTTAAGCAAATGTTGGATACTAAGGTATTCTGGTTTTTTTTTTTTTTTTTTTTTTTTGTCTCCAATGGGATTGTATTAATCTTGTTTTGCTGTTTTGGTGTTCGTGGGAGTTGATGAAGGGTTCCATCTGTTTGGTGGTTGCGTGTTGTTATGTGGGTTTGGTGTTAATTGTTGTTTGGTGATGGAACTTCTAATTTAATTCGTTTAATTGATTCATTTTATTGGGGTGTTGCTGTGTTATCTTATTTTTTTAATTTGGCTTGTCTTGCTGGTGTGTCTCTTATGATTGATAATCTGTTGTGTTGTTTTTGCTTTACATTGTAGAGAGTATTTCATTGTATATGGTTTCTTTTTCTTTCCATTTTTTGCAAAAAAATAAATCCCAGGCATGCGGTGAATCGGATACAATGTGTGACATTGAGGTTTTCACTTTTCCGTTAATGATTGTTTCCATAGGCAGTCTTATATTGGAGCATGGTTTTTCTATTCTTTTTGTCAGTTAATGATGGATTCTATTGGTTTATATTGTATTTTAATAATGGTGATGGCATGTATAATGTCTTATACCCTTTTCATTGTCCTATTGCTGGAATTTTCCTGGAGAGAATGTTAAAATGATATTCCAATTCTGTTATTACAGGAGTTTTAATCATCTTAAAATCATATCATTGTGTAAATTTTCTATCTTCATTCACCAAAAATTATCCTGTTAGAGTTTCGTTGTGTTCATCAAATAGTTATTCTCTTATTTCTTATATTTTGGTCTTCACCCTGCGTGTGCTTGTATTTGGAAGGAATTCAGGTGGGATTGGGGATAAGCCGTATTATAAAAGTTGTCTAGATAGCACTGTTATTCATTCTAATATTAGAGCGATATTTATATGTCTTTCTTGTCTGATTACTTTTAGAAACTGAAGAACAGAGGCAGTTTGGTTCCTTCTTTTTTCTTTTCTCCTATGGTTCTATCTTGTTTCATTCTTATTGCCTAATATATTATCTCAACTACATATTTTTAAGTTGCTTGCTTGAAAGAGCATTTCTGCAGTCTCAACCTTGACTCAAGACTGAATTGACAGAAAACAAAAAGTGGGTGCATGGCTTATTGCAAATTTCTCTATGTTCGGCTACAATTACTTTGTTATGTGCTTTGACATTGTTATATTATCTATTGTCCCATTTATATGTTTTCAGAGAATATTTTGTGTTGCCACATGGTCTAAAGTGGTAAAATGGATTACTGATTCTTGAGATAGCAGGAAGAACGGGGAAAGAGGCTTATTGAGTTGGGTTGAATTAAGCAACATAGTGAGGTCATTGGAGGCCAATCTTCCGTTTGATAGTTTCAGCCCATTTTGCGCTCTCTATTTTGAACTCTTGCTTATGTTTTCAGCTTGTGTAAGACAGCTAATAGAATTAAACTAATGGTGCATTAATTATAGGTTAATGAAGCACAGGTAGCAGCCTTGTGTCAACAAAGAAAGATAGACGAACTTGAAGCACAACTTGGTGAAGCAGAAGATATAGTAAAAGAGCTTAGAACAGAGTTGAGAGAAGCACAAGATGAATTGGAGAGGGCAACAAATAATCAAATGCGGCTTTTGGATGAACAAAATTCCTATGGTGATGTTGCTACTATGATGACAGCATCACTAGACAACAGACTCAATACTTCTGAGACTGTGGTGTCTTCTCTACCTGATGCAATATCTGAATTGGTTGTGACTTCTGATGTGAGGAATTCACCTTTGAAGATGACATTTGAGGGGAACCAATGTTATGGTGAAAACGGTTCTCATAAAGATAATTGTTTTTTTTGCAACTCTGACTTTGCCTCTATAGTTATGAGAAGAAAAGAGCCTAAGCTTTACAGGAATGGGTGCACTCAGAGAATTCATGCATTTGAAAGGAACCTCTTAGATGGAAATTTGTCTCTTCCTGGGCAAGTAGATGATGTAAAAAATGGAACCTCTATTGTAGAAGATGAAGATGTGTGCAAAAACCTTGACACTGGGCCTGATAAAATGTATGGAGTAGAGAATGATCCAGATGAATTCAAAATGATGGAGGGAAATAGCAACTGCATTTCAGTTCATGCTTTGAAGTCCTTTTGCTGGAAGAGAAAGAGAGCTGCTAGATATAAGAAAAGAAAAGGTTTCTTTTGGAATTTTCCAGATGAGATCGTAGAAACAACACAAGAAAATGATCTTTCCTGCCCCAGGAGTTTCCCTGCTGCAGTTGGTAAAGGTGTCCAACTTGAGGATTCTAAGATATTTGAATCTAAAGCTGAGAAGGATTTGGAATCTCTGTCGACCCTGCAATTACTGTCAGATAATACTAAGACGATTCTTCAGTCAGGATGTGCAGAAGTTATTGAAAGTGATTTAGAGTTTCGCAATGCTTGTACTGTTCAAACCCTAGCAAACAGTGATGACTTGTTGATAGATACATTAGAGTTGGCAAGACAGGAATGTGGATCTGTAGAGAGTTCTGAGGTTCCCGCTTGCAGTACAGATGTTCAAGCTGTTAATATGTCTTCAGTAAATACAGATCTTAAAGTGTCTAATTTAACTGAAAGGATTCCTACTCAACCTTTAAATGCTAAATTTCTCAAGTACACATTCCAAAGGAAGCGGAAGAAGGAGTCTTTGAGTGGTTATGATGGGAATTCTTCTGCTGAAGAAAGCATTGTGAAGACAAAGATGGGGGAGAAGCAAAATGGTTCTTTGGAGTCACAGAAGCCAACTGAATCATCTCGAGATAGTCGACGACTAGCGCAAGTTGCTCGTCAGGTTGGCTATATGTTTATTCATGTTTCTGCATTGTGTTTGTATGCATGTATTTGGAGTATTTTTTCATGTGAGTACTCATCTAGAAATGATAATATCTTTAACAGTTCTGGGGCTGTGATGAACTGTGGCTCAACTGGGATATTAGCTAGTATTTTTTTTTTCTTTTTTCTGAATATACTAATGCCTTTGTTTAATAATCAATTTGTGAATGTCATCTGAATTGCTGATGATGGATCATAGATTTATTTAATTCACATGTTTGCTTGAGGCTTCCAATAACGTGCCATTAGTACAGTCATAAGTTCTGATCGATATCTGATAAGTAATATTCTTGTAGATCCAAAATCTCTCTTTCCATTTTCCCTTTATTTCTTAAATTTCTGGAAAAATAGGCTGATTTATCCATTTTATTACCAGCAAAAACATCAAAATGGTAAGTCTGAGCTGTCAAAAGCAAGTGCATTGTTGAGCCTTGAGAATGGTTGCTTCGTTTCTTGTCAGCGTATTCATGCTTCATCTCTATATCTTGCATTCCTTTTCTATCCACTTTTCTTTTTGTGTGTGTCAAGGCGGGTGTCGTATTTTAGTAATTGAGGATTGTTCTCATCAGGTTTAAGTTGTGTCGCAGTTTTGCTTGACTCACATGAAGCAGGTGGATGATGAGAGAGAACTTCTGCTTTTTGAAGCATTTCTTTTTCAATATCCATTAGTAATAACAGGAAAACATGCAGAAAAGTACATGTTTGCTATTGACTTTGGACTGTCTCATCCGAAAACAAACTTCTATTCTATGTGGCTTTTGATTATTCCACTGAAACTATATTTGAAGTTCCTTGCCTATAGAATTAACATCTTCTGATGACCTGGTCGCCTTTTTTTGTCCTAATCATGATATTATATATGGCTAAGTTGCTTGACAATTATTATGTTTTCTTATCATGTTACATATCGTTTAGAATTAATCACTAAATTTCTCTTTCGCAGCTTATATCTCTGTCCGAGAAGAAGTGCTGTATTCGCCTGAATGGAGCACAAAATTGACCCCTGACCCTCTTCAATGTAGCTCAGAAGATGGTTTTTTGTGAAACAATCCTGATGAGCAGGCTGCAGATTATCAACAAGGGAGAGCTATGTTCCCAACTTTATAATATATAGACATTATATTATCATCAAGAAATCATAATTGTTGTACTTCTCTAATGGTGCATTATATTATATTTAAGTAGTCAAATGAAACTATTTGAGGCATTTCCATGAAAGCGATTATTAAAATTGTTACTTGGTATGTTCTAGTATCCAGATAATCCATGACTGCTGCTTAACTCTCAATTTCTTGATTCTGAGATCAAGTCGCTAGGTCCTGGAATTTTATGCCATAACATGAATTGAGAACTTGCATATCCTCAAATGCTACCAGTTTGTTATTTTCAGTTGCTTGCACTAGCAAATGACTCAATTCATAACTGAATTTGCCGACCAAAAGATGAGCAGAATAGCGTTTACAACCTGTTTTCAAAATCATTTGTAATTGGTTTGAGGAAATTGTATTGAAAATAAGTTTTGTGTAAGGGTATATATTAGACAATGTTTACTTTTTTCAATGTATTTTATATATAAAAAAACTAATTTCTAATACAATGATACAATAAACTTGAGAGGGGTAATTGTGTTTTTATATAAGATCTTGGTGTTAAAATTTGAGGCAAAGAAAAGAGACGTGAGGAAATTATTAACTCCTTAATTCTGATATTTTTGCTTCATAAGACTGAAAGAAATGAATCAAAAAATATAATTTTTGTATACAGAAAGTATAACCAATTGAGAAATAAATAAATTAACTATTTTTGGGTGATCAAGTTGTTTGATAGGAACTCTTGAGTGTATTACTCAAGAGATTCTGAGTTCGAGTTTCTCCACGGTCCCTAATAGAGGTAGCCATTAAAACTCTTATCCAGTCTGTAGTTTCAGAGTCTGGAGGATTAATTAGGATCCCAAAAAATTAATTGAAGTATAAGTAAACTGACTCAGACCTCAGACCTCCAATCATATTAAAAAAAAATTAATTAATTAACTAACTTGGTGCAAAATATAAGCTCCCTGGAGAGAAACAAAACCCCATCAAAATATATGTTTATGTAACGGGATATTTGTATAAATTTTTTGTATAAACAAAAGAGAGTTTATATAAACTTACGTGATACATCATGTGTGTACATATAAGAGCCCGTATAATATTAATGTAACGTTTAAATTAGGTGGGTTAAATAATACATGGTGCGCTTTGTGATGTACCATATAAGTTTGTACAAAGGTACAAAGAGTTTGTACAAATAGATTACCTTGTATAATACGTGCTGGGAACAAAAATACAATCTTGATCTGGAACCAAAATTATAAAACCCTTTTGGTTTTTGGTTGCCGGTTGAGAGTGAGAAGTTCAAGTGAAGATGGGAGTGGCAAGCAAAGCAGGAGATTTGATATTCAAAGCGTTCACAGCTGGTCTTGGTGTTGCCACCATTTATCTCACCGCTACTTTCTCTGTTAATGTCTACAGAGGCCTCGCTTGGCATAACGCTCAATCGGTAACTACCCATTCCCTTTCTCGCTTTCAGAAAGCAATTCACTGTATATATGTTCATCAAGCCCTAGGTTTTTATTGCTATATCTGATATGAAGTGGGTGGCCTTGTTTTTTGTTACCATTTTCTTGTCGAATTTGATGTTTTAAATTTGTAGTTTTCGATTTCGTTTGTTTGGTTCATGATTGTGCCGGCTAAGACCTGTATTACACAAACTTCCTTCGCTCTGTGTTTATATATGTTACAGCACCTTTTTGTTTTAGTCTTTAATAAGTTTATTTTCCAATTATTATTTACTTATTATAAGGATTATTATTTACTTTCCGATTATCAATTTCCTAGTCAGATTTTGTAAGGCAAACTCTAGCCTATATAAGTTTATACGGTGAGTAGTGGAGACTTAAAGTTGATTATTTAATATAAATTTTAGTATTTTTCTTCTTTATTTGCATCTTCTTCCTGGGTCATTAGAATATAGAAAACAAAAGAAAAAAAAAAAAAAAAAAGCAGATATGTAGCTTACTTTTAGAAGTTAGAAGAAATCTAAATCGGTTCATGGCCTGCTGTGGCAATATTGAGGTATTTACTTGGTACTGAATAGTCTTGGCTTTACAGGTCTCTTGTAGGGAAAGGTTTCACAAATTTGGCTGTGAAAAACTATAGGACTTGGAATTTGGAATTTTGTTTAATAATATGTGAATGCTGGGGAATGGAGCAAGGTATCTGAGTGATTTTTATAACTATCTACTCTTATGTGTAAAACCCTTGATGCACACTTCAGTGCTCAAGAGCTAGATGTTAGTTGTGATCTTGCATCATTTCAAGGTCTAGTTATAGCCCTGAAGTTTTCTATGTTTATTTGATGTTTTTGACAACTTCACAAACAACAAAAACGTGAGTAGCCAATCCTGGTCTGAGTAAAAGAGCATTGGGATGGTTGATATTTTAATGGTTTTGGCCTATACATGCTTTTTTTTTTTTTTATTGATAAATAGAATTTTCATTTCAAGTAAAGTTGTATATTTGTCAAAACCTTTACAGTAGCCTATTGGATATCATCAATTGCATTTATGAAACTGCTATTTGTTTTAAGTTTAGCTGTTGGAAACTTGGCATGAAATACCACTACTCGTGAGTTCCTAAACCAAGGCCTTAGAGAGAATTTGAAAACCTACCTAGACTGGGAATCTGAACTGTGAACAAATAGTTTTTGGGAAAATATTGAAGTGCTTTAGATGCTATATTAAGAGTCTTCATGTTTACCTTGAATTGTATGTCTAAATTAATTTATTGCTACCGTCCACGCATTTTGGTTGTACATTTTAATAGTTCTCTGTCATTTTGATTCTTATATGTAGTGAAGATTAACTATTGAAATGGTCATGGGTCTTTAATATGTGTTACAAGGAAGTGAAATGCTTTTGGTAGTTTGCTTGATTACAGAATAACACCATCCCCTCCATTCTTGTTTTACCACCCTACCTAATAATAGTATTAGTTATACTCTTAGGTATTAAAATGTTTGTGTGGTAGCTTGCAAGACTTTGGAACAAAACATGTGCTCCTCTCTTTGTTTGTATATTATGATGCTGCATTTGGATTTAACCGAACACGTGCTGATTATGAAGTGATGAAAGCTGTTATTCTTTGATATCCTTATGTTTATTTTTGTTTTCAATATATGCTGAAAGAGTAATGTGTACAAGTTCTATCACTTAATGTCATAGCTTGTTATTTTCATTGGTTGCTTCTGCCAAGTTAATTTGATTGAGATCTGAGATTGAGCATTTTTCTACAGAAACCTGAGAAGCCGGACTCCAGTGAGTAATCCCCTTGAGTCTGTGCTGCAATCCGAGGTTGAAAGATGTTACATGTTTTCCCTCATGAAATTAAAATGTATACTTTAAGCATATCTTCAATTTTTCCTTTCACTCAGGTATGAGATTCAGTTTCTAAAACCATAGAGTTCTCAGTTATTGAAAATGTATTAACTTTAAATTTTAAATGATTTCATTCGAGTATTTATCTGCTATTCTATTGCCCCATGTTGGGAATGTAATGCTACTGGATGTTGCAATAAAACTGAGGAATATCCATTTTTGAGATTAAGAGTGAGTGACTGTGTAGATATGGGGTTTGGGGTTTGATCACAACTCTGACTCATTTGAAGAAAATAGGTTCTTGAAGTTCCTGAATTTTATTAATCTTTTCTCTTCTTCTATAAAAATCTAATATAATTAGATGGGTTTTAATGCTTTAGGATAAATATTCTAGATTAAATTTTTTAATAATTCGACCTCATTATAGACAGTATTAGAGTCACAGGAGCCATCATATCGACAATGCAGCCTGCATTCTTCTGCATGGTGGTCTTTTATTTTATGTAAGCTACAGGGGTATGCTTAAAGATATTATCATTAATCACGATCATCACTTTCAATTCATATCAAGTAATATCCAAAGCAAGAACAACAAAAGAAAATGACTTGGTAACCATCAATGGGAGGAGATAAAGGCTGCCCTAATCTATACACATCTCACACTTTAATATGGTGGTGGCGGCCTGGTGGAAACATTTGGTGTAAAGTGAAGTCTCTTCTTTCCGTTTTCAATATACTTGCAAAATAAGTAAAAAAAGAATGCTAATCTAATTCAAGAATTATTCAATAAATATGCTTTTTTCTTGGTCCCCCGAGTGCTGACTGAGGGGACTACTTTCATGGTTAAGTAAAAAAGAAAAAGAAAATTCTGTATCCATGTCCAGTAATGGGCCTCTGACATAGAATCATCTTCACCTACTATCACGCGTCTAATGATTTCTTCATGACCTCCCAGCTTTGCACCTGCTACACAATTAGGAAATTACAAATCAAATGGTTAGCAGGAGTCACAGGATTTGATCTCAGCTTTGAATAGAAAAGGGAAACAATATACTATACGCCCAACTTGGCATTATAAAAGACCATGGCAGAAACTTCATGGAAAACGGCATCCATGTGAATTGACTATTGAGCCAGCTGGACAGCAGAAATTTATTTAGGAAAAGTTATGGGTCCTTTTGTGAAAAAAGCATTATAGAAAACCTCCAAATATTTGGTTGAGGTAATAACACTATTTTGCTAGGCTGGCGGAGCCCTTTGATAAAATAAAAAAAAAAACAAAGAAAGAAAAAACAACTATTGAGGCTTGAGGACTATCTCACAGGAAATCCCTATTTAGATCAAACCATCTTTCGGATGTCCTCCCACCTATCAGGGCTTATCATCAATTGCAAAGATGGCATGTCAATGCATGGCCCGACAAAGATAGACATCGGGAAGGTATATACTCCTAACATGAAATATCTTAGACAAATCCATATTCAAGAAGGTTTTGTGGAGGGTTCTAACTATACAAATCTTTTGTTAAGGGCAATGCATTTCAAAGGGGACGGACAGGGGGAAAAGAGAACCCCTGAACTATGCTGTATTGCGTCATGCATGTACCTATTACCTGGCAGTTTAGCGAGATTATGAAAAAGAAAAAGAACAAATAAAAAAGGAAACCATGAGACTGCATGAAAATCAAAGGGCCAAAATCTATTTTATTTTATAATACCTACAGATTCCACTAGTTACTGATGTGCCACCTCTGATACACCCCTTGAGTCGGCGCAAATTTCTGCTAGTGGATTCACAATGAATCCACCACCCTGATACCTCAACCCATGATTCTGCAACTTAAGCATTTCAGAATTGCCATTAATATCAGTTCTGTGACGCATGGCACTCGATAAGGTGCCACCAGGAGTAGTAAATCTTGAGGTTGAACTTCGGCCTTCTGTCTTCCTCCAGAATTTGGAGCTTAAAAAATCTGCACCTGGTAGCATACAACATGTGATTCCCTGGGAGCCAGTTTTGGTCATCCTTCCAGTTGATACAGCCAAGTCATACGATATCTCATCCAGTGCCAGCTCAAGGCCATGAACACGTGTCTCCAAAGAGTTCATCCCATTTTGTGTGCTACCAATGAATCTCTATACGTATGGAGGAAATATGAGCCACAAGTGAGAAGAAACATTCATCAAAATGCACTGAGAATTGATTCAGAAGTACATATATACTAGAACTCTCATATACAATTTCAGATCTTAAAAGTATTGACACATGCATGCTCAGATTGTATGGAACTAGAGTAAATTGTATAAGTTTTCAAATATCGTAACTTAGAATCCAACTATGGTACACTTATTTTGAATTATTGAAAGAGCATTTGAACCTAATTAATCATCATTCTTTAAGTCCAATGATGAAGAATTATAAAATCTAGAAGCAATCAAAGACTATAAGGACAATAATTCAATTTCATAGAATTATTTGTCCTCCATATTACATCTGTCAAGCTTACACCCGATCAAGTGTGGATAATTAAGTGGCAGGTTTATTGTAATTCACTGATATTGTCATTTAAGGATGCCACCAGTGATGACAAAGTTTGTCTAACATAACATGGTTTCGTATGTAAGGTAAGGTTCAATGAAACGAAGAACAACTCTCTAACACATATTACTTGATAAATAGGTGTAAACAGATGTATTAGACGGTAAAATATCAAGCTAAGAATGAAGTCAAATTTCCAGGCATTATAAACTAACCTGAAGGAGATCTAGCAGACTGGACTGCTGTTTTTCAATCTGAACAAGTTGATTGCGGATCAAAGATAAATCTTCACAGTCTTTATGATTCGTGTGTAGATTCTCGCAGTTATTACTTACTACAACAGTATCTTCATGGCTCTCCTCATGATATGGAGCCACCCGAGATCCAGACCTCAACCCTCCAAATTTTTGCACCTTGTCATCAGAACTCTTATTGAAAAGGCCACGTCTTGTATCAGGCTTTGGAAGCCTAGCATTCTCATTGTTCCTTCTTTCTGAGATGTTCCCATCTCTCTCCTTGACATCATCCTCATGAGCATCCGTCAAAGAAGCAGAACCCGGAACAGAAATATCGACTTTCCAGTTGGAAGGTTTTTTATGCTCCAGCTTTTGGAAGATTGCCGGACTTGTTTTCTTCAAGGGACCTCTCTTCCTGGTAGTGGTTGCAAATGAACTATCAGGTGGAGTTGACTTGCCAGCTGGAATCGATTTCCTCTTCAACTCAAGACCTGCGGTGAAATTCTTGGACCCGGCTGGATATCTTCCATCACTTGAATTTTCTAATCCCCATCAACATAAAAGCGAAAAAAAAAAAATCAGACAAATGATCAATCAAAAAAAGAGAACATGCAACATAGCATAAATCATCTTAAAGCAAATCCAAATAACAATTCGGCGAGAAATTGCAAATTCAGATCTTTTAGTTCCCTCAACAAATCTAAAACAGATGATTCAATTCTTCAAAAGATCTAAGATTTCTCAATCATGAATGTAAAAAAATACCTTTAGATGAACAATGCGATTGCAGTGGCGGAGACACCTGCTCCGATATATCTGGAACTTGTTTCCATGCCTCTATCATCTGATTCATAACCTCCCTAACAGCCTTTACCTTTATAAAAAAATTAAAAATTAAAAAACCATAAAATTTCAACAGCAACTATATAATTAACACTAAAACTAAAAGATAGTAAATTCAAACCTTATCAAATCTCCTACTCTCAAAAACTTTCAAGCAATTGGCCTTAAACTCTGCCACCGAATCCTTCTCCACCGCCGCCAACCTCCACAGCGCCTCCGCTGCCGCTTTTCTCGCCGCCCAGTCATCACTACTCAAAAACCCAAGCAAACAGCTCACCAGCCCCTTCAGCCCCTCCCCGCCAGCCGCACCAGATCCGATAACACTCCCAACCACCACCAAAGCTGCCGCCTTGGCCTTGAACCCTTCATTCTTCACCAACCTCTCCAATCTCGCCAACATCCTCTCCAGCCTCCCCGCCTCTGGATCCGGCGCCGCATCGATAGCCGCCGCAAGGCACAGTGCCGCACCGACCTGCGCGTTCATATCCTGCTCCGTGAAAAGCGCGTCGGACAGCAACTTCAAAATAGTGACGAATGCCGACGCACTGACACGTGACGAGAGAGACGAAATTGTGCTTATGCACGTGGCCTGGATGGAGGAATTCTTGTCACGGAAATTGCGTGTGAAATTGTTGACGATCTTGGTGACGTAAGGCGAAAGATTGTGGGACGACGACAGAGTGGCGATGACATGGATGCATTCTTTTCTGACTCCCGGTTTATCGGAGGAATTCGTAGAAAGAATGCAGGAGAGAAATGTCGGGAGCAGAACCGTGTCCAACGTGGAGGCTATTGAGTCCAGTTCGGTTGCCGCTTGTGAATACGTGTCACGGTCGGAGAGTTTTGTCAGTAAACCGTACACTTTGAGCTTGAGAGGTTGAGCCATTTCGGTTTGTGGTGAATGTAACTTTTTAGAAGCTTCGGGGAAGAGGAGGTGGTGCCGCCGGGATCTCAGGAACCGCTGGTAACATTTGGCGGTGGTGAGTGTCAGTGAAAGAAGGACAGTTGTGTTTTGAGTAATTTGTGTGTGCGCTTTTTAAAAGTTGGAAGGAAAATGAAATAAAGGGAAGGGATGTCACGAGAGTTGTTAACTACGGTGTCGTTTTATGTGGAGCGATGAAGGGAGGTTTTGTTGTTTTTACTTTACTCAAAGTGGATTAATCTTTAAACGCAGTTAATGATGATACTAATGATCAGATGAAGTCACAAACCGCCACGTGGAGGATTTATTTTGCAGATAATGTGGGCAGTGCAGAGTATGGAGCGTAAAGGGGTGTGAAAGAAGAAGCGCAGTGGTCCTGAAGATGGCGCCAGAGAGCATGTGAAAATACATTAGGCAGTTAATACCGGTAAATTAGCGCCAAAATTAAGGAGTCACGTGACTTGACTGTAATTACTGTGCCTGTAATCAAGATGCTTCAATTTCTTACCCTTAAATTATTACATGTACATTATGAAGGTCGTGTTTGTGAGAAACCCACATGATGCGTACAAATAATAAACCAAAAATTTATTTTGGTTTTTTGGTCAAGGAACAACTACATTTAACTATGTATAATAAATAAAATTCAATATAATGTCGGCAGTAATCTGTCCGCTTTCAAAATAAGTGTATAGATAAGGGGTCGGAATGCAATTTTTATTTTTTAAATCAACGACAATTTGTCAAGTATTGGTAACAAATCATCAAAATCAAACAGCAATGTGGGGCTAGGCTTGGTTGATCAATCGTTAAAACTGGGGCTCACAGCATTTGATTTGCCTACGCAACCGTTTTGGATTTGATTAATTTACCCAGGAGGTTTATCTGTTATTGACATTTAAATTAATGGTGATAGAGCAACCATCCTCAGCAATTGTTATCTCAACCTCTTTACCTAACCAGACTTTCATGAATTCATGAAAATTGTAAGCTTCCAATTAGAGCTCAGTTGGTGAAAAGTTTTATTTATTAGTTTAGGCGAATGATTGACCTAAACAAAAGGTTTAGTTCAACTACTGATTAATGGCGATAAGTGATCAGTGCCGAGAACCACAATTAGAATATACGTCCTAGTTTAGAACTCAAGAATGAATAGAGATAACTTTCTAACTTTGACCCTGTAGCTGTAAGGTTACTTAATAGCCATACTTGTCAGTTGGATCATCGATAGAAACAATTTGTAAATTCAAAACTGACCAAATCCATCGAAGTTGATACTCGTAGTTTCAAAAAGAACCGTGAAAATTATCATCTTCTACCCCACTGTAACTAAACCAGTTAAATTAATCACGAATACGGGCATGCAACATCGATCTTCAATTCTACATAAATGCATATATATATAACTCTCGAGGCTTTCATGCTCTATTTTAAAAATCGAACCGGACTGGCCGGTCAGACCAGGACTCGGCAGCTTCTCCAGTCTAGTTCATGTCTTAGGGTGGTTTTTGTAATATTTCAAAATTATAAGGGTTACTTGGTAATTTTATAGGGGTGTCTTGAATATGTATCAAAAGTTTGGGGATTAATTGATAATTTTTGTGGCATTTTAAAATAAATCAAAATTTTAGGGACTAAATTGAACTTTTTTAGGGGAATTTTGTAATATATTAAAATTTGAGGGATTAATAAAATTTTTAAAAAATAAAATTATCGCTGACGTTATCGGTCCAACCGGTTGGACTAGTTGACCCGTGACCCAAGCAGCAAAACGAGTTACCTTTCAATCCGGGTTTTAAAACAATGCTTTCATGTGATGAAGAAGAGGAAGCCCCAATGTGCAATTCCTCTTCATGTGGTGAGACATATAACGTGTAGACTGTAGTAGCAAAGGACAAATTTTAGTCTAATGTCGTCGATTAGCATTTAACCGGATAAGGCAGGCATGTGTCGATATGGTGTTGAGTCTGCATGGAGTTTTATTAAATAACCACGAAACTTGTTCAATAAATTCAACTTGATTGAAGATTTCGTGTTACTTTTAATTTTAGCAAAGTGATCAAATTAGTTGATTAAGTCCCTCAAACGTGTCCATTTTATTAGAAGATAGGGTGACTTTGAATTTAAGAAAGGAAAAAGAAAGTGGTATTATTTGAGATATTGTTTTCACAGATTGACGGAGGGTTCATGAATCATCCTGGTCAAGGTGATGATGCCCATGTGATGGTGTCCAATCTCTACGGTCCAAATGCGTGTTTTGGTGATAGTCATAGTAGACCCCATCTTCTATGGCTATTTAATATATCATATTATGTCATATAGATAATCATATGTTAGGTGCCGTTTGTATTAATATAATTTATATATTATATGGTCACCCTTCCTAATTCCACATGCAGGCTACAGATTCATCAATCATCATGCCTTTGTTTTATTTTCATATTCTTCTAATTAAATAATTGGTTTACAAGTCTTTTTCGATGTTTTCCATGGAACATTGTATTTATATTTTATAGTTGGCCAGTCGTAAATTTTTATGATGAGATTGTGAATGAATTTGTTACTTTGGGCCTGGGCTGATATGAAGGCCTAGATAGGGTAAACAGTCAATTAGCCCAAGAAATAAACCAATATGAAGAGTCCAAGCAATTAAGAGAAGAGATCTGGGGTGGGCAAATGGCTCTAGATGAAACCCAAGGAAAAAGGCTCTTTACCTTGGAGATGTCAAATGGGTTTGATTCTTAGGCTAATATGAAGGCCGACCCAAACTCCACTAGCCCAATAATGAAGTCGGCTTAACCCAATGTTTAGGCCTAAAGAAAGGTCCAAGAGGGTTACTAACTCGAACTCTATGATATAGATTGGCTTTTCAAGACACCGCATCAAAGTTAAAATATGTCATACTTTTGAGAGGCATGTTTGTTATTCATATGGAGAATCCACTCTTTCCAAGAACACCCTAAAAAGGTTCAAAAAGAGAGAGAATCCTTATCTTTTGAACACACAAAATTAGAGTTCAATTTACTCGTATTTTCATACCTTTCAATTTCTTTATACTAAAAATTTTGTATATTATTTTTATTTAAGTTTTCCATCACATAAAAGAAAAAAAAAAAAAAGTTTGCTTTGTAGGATACACCATGTTTTTTCGATAATAAACAATGGTAAAAAGACATATTTAGTAGACTAATCATCAATAAGCAATACTTACAATGTCAACAGAGTTATTAAAAGAGTGTAGGTCTCGACAATCAACTATTATCGACGACCCTAATGACCACATTTAAAAAACACACACATGTATATATATATATATCAAAATTTAAGATATTTAATTTGCTATTTAAATAAGTTGTAAACAATTTGTTTAGAAAAAAAAAAAAAAAATTTGAAATGTTCAGGTCAACAATTTGAATAATAAACTTTATTAAATATGTTTTAACCTTTTTTAAAGAAAAAAAAAAAAGTTAAATTATTTCCACTACAAAAGTACAGGTGATGGACATAAATATATATTAGAGCTTAGCCACTAAAATATTGTGCCTTTGTCGCATAAAGATAGGTCTCGTTATCTTAAGATGTAATTAGAAGTTGTTTAATTAATTAAACATTGACTTAACACATGGTGTTAATGATTTAGTGATTTGAGTGTCACTCACCCTCAAACAATCTCTTTCCAATCCAATTGCTTTTCAGGCTATACCAAAAGTTCAGCCAACCTTCCACATTTTTGTATTTTTTTGCTGATATTTAAAAAATATATTTATATATATATCTCTAAAGCATTATTTTGTCCTATGCGTGCCTTTATATATTTGATCAATATGGTAAGTCAAACTGCAAAACATGTATCGATCATAATATAACTCACCTTTAGGGGTAGTCAGGTTTGGGTACCTGTTATTTTTTTCAAAGAACTGGAATCAATCGGTTTCGGTTCCTCAATAGCTAGATTTGTAACCTGGTTTCAATTTCAGATACCCAAGAAAATTACGAATAACCCTTACTATTCACAAAAATGATAAATATATCTTATAAAAATTATAAATATATTGCACTAGTTTACAAAAATTACAAATACATACTAAATGCCCATCAATTCCACCCTTGGTACTCGAACCTCAGTTGCGGTTACGGTTCCCATTCTTGAAGTGGTTGAATTAGAACTAGAATTGCATAATACCGATTCTACCAAATTTGGAATCAAAACTGACCCTTTCTATGTAGAATCAAAACCCTTAATACCTACTGGTTCTAGTTATACCTAGATTTCTTGCCCACCCATACCCACCTGTTGTGGTCAATACATATTTTGTGGTTTATAAATTTAACATTTATCAAAGAATTTGATAAAATTAAATAGCATTGAAAAATATTATGTTATTTTACACTTATTTTTTATCATCCTTAAATAAATAAGGATGAATGATTTATAAAGAGTGTCAATCATTACTTAAACATTTAACATTTACGTATTTTAAAGTATTAATTATTAAATTTATTTTCTGAATATTTAATTTCTATTAATGTTGAACTTTACATTTCCTTTTTATTAATTCAAATATCTATATATTTAATGCTATTAAAAATCCCAAATTAAATTTACAATATAGCCACTAACCAGGCATTTCAAACGAGTGAGAAGACGCCACGTAACGCGATCTCACCTTTCAGTTGAGTGGACGAAGAAATATCAACAGCACTTAAGTGGCAGATCAGAAAGATGGTACGGATTTTATTGAGATATTTTTTCTTTATTTTGGGGCGGCGGGACGCCCATCTCTCTCACTTTGACTTTGGGTTTTACAACTCAATAATGCTAAGAACGCATGACTGTACACCAAATTCTTATACTGAATCATGTGTCACGTGATTTAGACCAATCACGTATTCTATTAATAAATATTTTATAAGTGAACGGTTCTTCATCAACTATAGATGATCATTCACTGTTATTAGATAGAGTCTATTATATATAGATACTCATCTATACGAATTGAATGATAGACTCCCATCCATATATATAATATGGACAGGGGTCTATATTTAATAGACGTCTGTTCAAACTTTAAATTAAAAAAAGTTTCTAAACAAAAATAATGGATGAGCATTCATAGGTTATA